GGGCCATATGCCTAGATGCATGCAGAAAGACTTTCATTTGGGTTGAATCTATCATGCAACTGCTCAATATGGCATTTGTCGTCAGTTGCTAATAAACATTTTGGACAGCTTTGGCAACATGTTCTAAGATGAATGATGAACCTTTGTGAGCTAGCGGTGTTGAATTATGTACCATGACACATTTGCCAGAAGCACCAGGAGGTTTTCCCTGTCTGTCAATCCTGGTGTGTGTCCTTTCATCTGTCAAAGGGACATGATTAAAAGGAGCTCCAACTTTCCACCTCAGTTCCCTGTACTGCCAGTCTTACTTGAAACTGCCTTCTTGAAGTAGGTCTGGAGATTTTTTCAGCTGCTGAAATGAGATTGAGACAATATACTGATCTATACATTCTAGCTATCAGAGTGATTTCAAGAATTCAAACAAGTTTGACAAATCCTAATACCTGCGTAAGACTTCCAATCTATCCACTCAGTGCATTACGGCGATTAGCTGCAGAAGCACTAAATTTTCTTTGCGATGGTTGGTGGAAGTAGTGTAGCTGCAACCGATGCATGTGCACTGAGATGCAGGTACTGTAGGTGCATCTAGTGCATCTGTGCAGTCCCAAGTGATGTGCATCAACCCTAGCAAGCTTGGCAGCACTAGCTTTGAGACTTCAGGCATTGACTGTAAAAATATTTAAAAATAATAAGGCATATTGTTATTTCTAGATCTATCTATTATTCTATTATAAACTATTGTTTGTATTTATAGACTCATATCTACCTATATAGATCTGGACTAGAATCTAAATTCTACTTCTAGATCTTGATCTAGGTTTTAGATTTAGAATCTCCAATCTAGATCTAAATCTAGTTCTAGATCTAGAATACTAGAATAGATCTAGATTCGAGATCTAGATTATAAGATATAGAACGACTCATTATCGATAAGGAATAATAGTCCAAGTTTATTGATGAAAATACAATTAATAACTATATTTTAGAAAATAATTTCAGTAAAATAGTAATTAAATCAAATCTTACCGTAAAAAGAAGCCAACAAACAAAAAATGTGCACTTATTTGATAAAAAAGAAGCACTCAGGTTCGCAGATGTCGAGTAAAGGAAGTCATGCGCTGAGCAAAATAATAGCCGGTATCTCGGCAACCGCTTACATTTCGGTCATATGTCGCCTTGACATGAGCTAATTTTAGTAACTTACAACATGGCTTCGCCTGGTAACCAATGGGAATACAGCTTTTCTTATTTCCATCATGCATTCACCTCGCGATTTCTATTTTAGTATTTAAAACTAGGTCAATGTATTTAGGTTATTTAAATGAGCAATTGCAAGCCGGTCATTCTGATATACGGCTTGCTATGCTAGGTCGCTTAGTTAAGAATCGACAGGCATGTTTATGGAGGCCATTTTTCCGTAAATTTATATTTTTCCAGGCACACACACCTTCTTCAAATGCACAAATATGTATGAAAATGTCAATTTACAGTTAAAACGATAACGGCATTAGGTAAATAAGATGTTAATGTATAGAAATAAAAAATAAAAAAAAATCGAAAAAAAAATAAAAATAAAATAAAAAATCAAGCTGAGTACGGTGTTGTAGCCCCTTAAAGTGGGGCTTGCTTTTCTATCACTTACTCATTTCGCTCTTTTTTCCTAAACTTAGTGGAACTTACCAAAAACTCATAGAACATATTTGAACTTAACTCATACTTGGTAATTTATTATTACTTTCACAAAAGAATAAAACAGAATCTAGACTTTACATCTAGTCCTTGTAAAGAAACAGTAGTGTTTGGTCAGATAATTTATCTAGCTAGCTGTTCTTAAGAAAAATCAAGTGGCATGCGTGGTACTTAAGTCTGTGTGAGCGTACAAAAATGACAAAAAAAAAACAGAAGTAGACCTATTTCTCAATTAGATTGGAAGAAGTGACGTCATAGACTGTCTCAAATAGTGTTCATTCTATGATATATGCTATGGGCCTGCTGAACTCGCAGTGACCCCCCAATTGTAGTGAGATTTTTTTGCCCGCAGACAGGAAAAAGTAAGCAATCTATCACACGAGTGACAATGTTTGGAAATTCTTTCATAAATTCTTTTAAAAACTTTAATAGATCAAGAACAGATTCTAAAAAAAAATAAATTAAAAGTGATTATTACAATATGAAAAAATAAAATATTGCAAGACACTGGTTACCAGTAGAGTTAACCTGGGATTTGAACACTGGGCTCCAGGGCTATCAAAGTTAGCTGCTGCACTGTTGATTTGACCACATGCAATGTGTTAGCAAGCGAAAATATGAGGCATTTTCAATCAGTAGACGTCTAATCCCAAAGGAAATAAAAACTGCTTCATTTTCTTACCACAACGATATATATATATATCAGCTGTTCAAGCATAATATAATTAACAGGCCTAGATCTATATCCTATTAGATAGGCCCTATAGGCCCAATTAAAAAGTAGCAGATTATCTATTACTAGACCTACATTAGCGTGTTAATGTGTAGATCTATTTATTGTATGAGTTATTGAATAGTTTTCCCGATACAATGATACATATTTTAGAATGTATTCTACTGAATATGAAATACTCGGAGTGCGCAGAGTTTCACACAGCAACTGCATCATTAAAAATGATGGACTGTAGGCTAGGCCTTCTTTTTGTATGCAATTCAATAGGGCCCTATAAAATATAAATTCTAAATAAATAAATAGGGCATAAATAACAATAACAGGATAAAACTCCATTGTGTGTTTCGGTTGTGTTTAAAATAAAATATGCTCAAATGGAGGTGAATGTGAAGCGGCGAATAAATTACGCTAAAATGAAGTTTTACCCAACAACTAACAAGACAAGTGCAGACAAGGGCCTAATAAAATAAAGTATGCTTTGCATACAATCACAATCAATACATGAACATTAAGGGCCTACATACAAATACAATACAATAAAATTATAACTAGATCTAATCTAGATCTGATGTGGGCCTAGGTAAAGATTAAAAGAAGGGCGCTAAGACCTAAGAGCCACACTTTTTAGCACCTGTACGTTTTTAAAGATTTTTACTAATCCTAGTATTTTACAAAATTGAAATCAATGGAAAAAAAGTATTCTAACACATCTGACTCAACATAAAAATAAAGGATAGTACAATAGGCCTATATACTAGACTTATTTAGACTATATTACTATAATACTATAAAAAGTATAGCCCATAGGCCTAATAAATAATCATTTTACTAATAATTTTAGGCTCACTTTGACTTTGTGACTTTTTTAGGCCTACTCAACAACTAGATCTAGATTCTACTTTTCTGGGTGTTGGGAGATTGCGAGACGCGAAAAGCGAAATGGTGAGGCGGGAAAATGCGAGGAGATAATGCGAGACATACCTGCGGAATTAAGGGTATATAGCGAGACACTTTTTGCGAAAAAAAAAATTTTTCATGCTTTTTTCATCTTTATTTATTTAAATAATTTTTTGTGTTTTAAAATAAACAAGCATTTAGCCATACCCTTTAACACAAGTGTTGTATGTTGTTATTTTTTATCTAGATTTTATTATATAGATAGAGAAATACTAAGAAGATAGATCGATATCTAGATCTATCGATTTAAAAATCCTAACATCGTTGCTGTGCTACTGTCATCGCCCGCTCTCGTTAGCGAGAGGAAAATCCCGTCTCAGTCGTCATTAATTTTAAAAATCTACCCCGCTCATGTTTATACAAATGTGAGCTGTGTCATTGTGAATTGGTATAATCTTGTCAGCAGGAGAGATATTCTGCAACATGTATTTATGGATTTTTGTACTTGCAAAAAGTGTAAAAGTATAAACAATTCTAAAAAGTGCAATTTATTTTTTTATTAAGTAATTTTAATTACAAACAAAATTTACAAACAAAATCTTCTGAAACAGTCCTAGCACCACTCAAACACACCTCGTGACACCATCTTTCACACATAGTACATCCAACCCAGTTCATTAGACTCCAATTTATACATTTTTCTTTGGCTACTTCTTCCAATCCACATTCACAACATGTCACATTCTCATCACAGTTGACCTCCTCGTTCATTCCACACACAACACTGGCACCCATGTTCTCATCATCATCATCCGCACGCTCAACATCTGTTTTCCGTTTTTTTATAATTGTATTTTTTATCATTTCTGTAATTTTGGCAATGTCGTTCTCATTGTGGTCACCAGCCGGATCTACGTCAGCAGGGCGTGGACGTTTACGATGATGTAGGCATTTCCTTGTGCTTATATTTATATGGTTAAAAAAAGCTAGAAAAAAAAATCGTAGGCGGCAGCTATAATACACAATTTCTATGTAACAATAGAAAATATGTTTGCGGCAGCAGCGGATCCGGGCACGGTGATCTTCAAAGACGTTAAATCAGGCGGCCTCTGCGTTCCACACAAAAGACAGAAGTTGATCTATCGTCGGCGGTATTTCCGTCGGTTTCGAACAAGGTGGTATTCTAAGTTGACACATAAGATGGGGGGAGTTGACAAATCATCAGTATGTTAAGCGACGGAAAAGTCGGAAGTTTTAACAATGTAAATGAAACGTCTTTGAAGTCTGGACCAAATACCACTGAATATCGGGTGTGGTAAATTTTCCGCAGAAATCTTCGCATTTCAACACTACCCAGCGTAAGTATCGGGTTGTGGTAAAATGCGAGATAAAAAAGTCACGTGACCGACCGTTTTCGCGCCCTTCTCGCATTTTCCCGCCTCGCCATTTCGCGTCTCGCAATTTACCCACACCCCGTAAGTATTGGGTTGTGGTAAAATGCGAGACAAAAAGTCACGTGGCCGGCCCTTCTCGCTTTTCGTGTCTCGCAATTTCCCCACACCCTACTTTTCTATTACTAGTACTACCTAGGCTAGATCTAAGACCTAAGTCTATCTACATATAGAGATAGAGTATAGATAGTCTATGGTTTTATTTAATATTTAGCAGTTCATAAGCCTACCTGTTCTTTCTTGAATTTGTTTACGTAGCAAATCACCACTTGACAAATGTTTTACCCCAAAGTCAGTGACAATTCGAGCTGAAATTGTTCCCTTACCAGAACCAGGTGCCCCCATAATAATTGCACGTAAAAGTTTTTTTGTTGCCATGACAAATAATTATCAAATTAAAAGAACCTCCTGCATAAAAAGTACATAAGGATAGTAGTTGTACTTAAGTTTAAGTTAGGTCCTAGAATCTAGATTTAGCTAGCCTATGTACTATGTAGATCTAGAATAAGGATCTAGATCTAGTCTACGTACTAGTCTATGTTGGGTTTTAACACAGATCTTATTGGGCTCTTACTAAATCTGACCCCAACACATCTTTGACCCCGGTTGCCACATCAAAATGTAGTAAGTACGCCAGATATATAGATCTACATCTAGATCTAGATATCAAGTCTAGATTTTTCTAGATATAATAAATCTAGATCCAAATCTACATTCTGGATAAAGTATATGCTAAAATCTAAATCTTGTACTTGACTTCAATATGTTTCTAATGAAAAAATTATTGTTATTTTGCATTTTTACGTTCTCGTTTACAGAAAAGACTTAATTACTAATTAGGCCATCCCCGTTTTATCTCCCCACTGTAGGCCTATTGTAGCCTAAACGAAATATAAGGTATGCACTGTGATGTAAAAATCTAAATCGATATTTTGATATATTTTACGTTTTAGATCTAGATCTAGATCTAGATTCTAGATCAGGGGTCTCCAAACTTTTCAGTCCGAGGGCCGCATTAACTATCAAATTTCAGTTCGGGGCCAGTGTCTTCCAGGCATGTCTTTGATTTTTCTGGGCAAAGTTCCTCAGCCATCACCAACAAACGATTTTTTCTTGGACAAAAAGATCTCAGCGGGCCGGATGAGAGGACTTCGCGGGCCGCATCCGGCCCGCGGGCCGTAGTTTGGAGACCCCTGTTCTAGATCTATATCCTTATGGAGCCGGAAAAAAACTTATTTTTTTCAACCCTGTCAACATTCTTCCCTTTCAAACATCCAATGAACTTTTAGGCCTATGTAGATCTAGATCTATATTTTTCTGAACAAAATTAATATAGGCATAGATCTACTACTAAATTACTATTAGTCAAGCTACAAAGAAAGCTATAAAAGGAACCCTTTAAAAAAAAGTAAACTTAGCAAGTTTTGCATGCATGTAGCCTTTTCAAATATCAGTTATTTTAGATTGTTTAACTTTAACCCTATTTTAAAAAAAAAAAAAAAAAACAGCATAGAATACATTTTTAGGATTTTTTTCCCTTTTATCTACATTTTTATCATTTACTTATGTGTGTAATCAAATAACTGGAAAAATTAACAGCTGAAATTCCTGGCGCAGTTATATCCCTTAACGTAGGTATAATTAACTGGTAAAAACGTGTTAATTTTTTAAATTTGAAAACTGTTTAATAACCTGGAAATTTAAAGGTTAAATTCCTGACGCTGTTACGTCCCTTTAATAATTAAAATTGAGGAGTAATTAAAGCGTTCAATTATTACCCCCCCCCCATCATATGACCTTTCTGCGAATCTGTTACGACACCAGAGCTATCTCATTACCAAATATCAACTTTTTGTTGCATCTGCAAATGGTCGATCTAATTCAAACACGTTAAAAAATGTATAGTTTATATAAAACCGCAGTCAGTTTAGGTCAGTTTTCGATCAATTTAAACTCGATTATTGAGATGATTGTTATTTGTAAAATATTTCTATAACTAGGCATGGAATAAATAAAATGCAATGTGGTAGGTAAAACACTGATATTATAAACTAGCTGCCTACCCGTACTCCGCCACGGTGAATTTTTTTTTAATGTACCAACTTGAGAACAGAATATAACTAAACACAAACACTTATACCCGTGCTTCGCTACGGTGTGGATATCGCCACGATGTGGATTTGGATATTACGGATTGCGGTCCCCGCATTGGGGCGGATAATCCATCAGCGCACCGCGCTGCGCGCGGGTGTCGGTAGCACTCTGGCGCGAATATGGATATTCGATATTCACAAAAATTAAATTACGATAAAAAAAATATTCAGAGTTAGGGCTCTTACGAACGTCCGCCCAGACATCTCTCCTCCCCGAACCCAAGGCGCAATTTAAACCGCCGCCGAACGACACGTTTTCCCGGCCGTCCGCGCCCAGGGAGAGACTTTCAAAATCTATAGCAGTGGTTCCCAACCTTTTTCGAGTGGCGACCCCCTTTTATAAAAAGTAAGTGACCCGCGACCCCCATAAAATTAAAAAGCCGAATTTAGTATGGGAATTAATAAGCACTAAAATAAGATTTTCTAGAAGACTTTCAATATGAACTACTCTTGATAACTGTTTTAATACGATGAGTAAAATTGCATGCTATTTACTAAACATTCGCGGTTAAGTTATTGTTAACGCCAACCTATGTCATTATCAACATTCAATTTATTTCTTAATTTTGTTTTTAATCGGAGAATATGGTTGAAAGGCTATTCTCGAAAAGTCGATCAATTTTACGTTTGGGTATGAATGGTGAATAATACACCAAAATTGTGTGAGCAGTTTTTCATCTTAGGCGGAATCATTCTGCAAATCAAATAATTAATCTTGTAATTCATCGGGAATGCTGGCAACATCAAGGGAAGTGGAGAATGGGTAATGCGTAAATGCAGATTCTTCTTCTTTCAGCTCAGAGAAATAGCGCCGCAGTTCATTTTCAAGAGATTCAAGATGCCCAGAAATCGCTTCTTTCAAAATTGTAATTATCTCACAATCAGGTTCATCTACCACACTGCAGAGTTTCTCAAATGTACAACATTTCCAAGATGTATTTATTTTCTTCGCCAATTTTGCAGCTTTGATAAAAATGCCCCGAGATTATTATGGAAAGTAGTAATCCTCGTTCATTTTCCCTCAAGCGTCAGGTTAAGCTTACGTTGATGTTCGAATATATCTGCTAGGTATGATGCTCTCTCCAACCACTCTATGTCGTTTTAAGTATACCAAAAGGTCTTGTTTCCTATGCACTTCCAAGAACAATTTGATTTCAGATTTCAATTCAAAAACACGATTCACAACAATTCGTTTGACAGCCAGCGTACTGTAGTGTAGAAAAGCAGAACCTCGTGATCTATATTAATGTCTTTGGTCCAGATTAAATATACAGTACGACTGTTACTAGCAATGGAGTCTTGATGACGAGGGCGTAGGCTACTGGTAAATCACGCAGTCGTTAGGGAGCTAAATCTTTTCTGTTTTCTGAATGCCCGATTTTGACCTAAACCTGGATAGCGCACCATCCGTACAAACCCCCACAGCCGTTTTAACCAACTTTAATCTTCCAGTTTAAAAAAAATGTATTTATTTTCTCCATGCTATTTCACAAAATAGCAACTCTTCTTTGCTATCATCTGATTGAATATAGACAAAGACCAGCAACTGAGAACACGAACTCACGTCTGTTGATTTATTAACTTGAAAAGCAAACAATGGTGAACGCTTGATTTCATTAAAAATTTGTTATTTAGTATCTACGGACACGTCGGCTATAAACCGCTGAGTAGTATTATTAGGCAGAGATATTTGTTGCATCTTTACTGCACTGGAATTCCCAAGAATTAACTTCACCATCTTCAACATGCAGCGTTTGATGAGATTTTCTTCTATTGTGTGTTTTTAGCGCAATTTCCATTCTGGAGAATTGCGTTTATTAACCCGTCATTTCTGGATGGATGGATGGATGGATGGATGTGTGTTCGCAGCTTTAAATCGTATCTCCTCCTCAACGAAGCAATATCGAGGACTAGTTCCAAAAGCAATTATGTTAAACAAGTTACGAGGATGATAGTGGGCCAAAAAATTTCCGGAATTCCTTCCTGGATTTCCCAGAAAAGCCAAAAAACCTCGAAAAAATGCAGTTTTTGGCCCATATCTCGGCAACCAGACCACTTAGCGACTTGAAACATTTACCAATCGATTCCTGCCATAATTTAGAACAATATTGCCGAAGAAAGTTTTCAAAAATATCCTTTCGTTCGGTCACAACAAAATTTTTGAATTAATTAAAATTTAGACCGAATTAGTAGGCATGTTTATCCAACCACACCACACGCGTCATCACGTTCAATAGCTGCACCATCACGTTCAATGGCTGCGCCATCACGTTCGGTAGCTACGCGCGCAATGGTTTTTAGTCATGTAACTCTATTGTAAATAAAACATGTAAAATACTGAAAAAAAAATTAATAAAAAACGTTTTAATAACTAACCAATGGTTTTACTAACCTTGCTCTTGATTTACGCTACGACAGAGCTATTTTTAGATAACATAAGGAAATTGCGCTAAAATTGTCACTAGGCTTTTTAATTACCTTGTTTTTTTTTTTTGCTTGGCATTTTCTATCGCGACTTCATTTGATGCTTGCGCTAATGCTGTATTTCCTTGGTGAAAACTTCCTGTTCGATCAGGTCTCTGACGTACGTTTGCAACTAGCTTCATGCCGACGAAAGAACACGATATCTTTTTTGGTGTGTTCCGAATGACTCGTCTCAAATGACGTTTTAGTTTTGAAGATTTTATAAACTCGTGACAGAGAACAACTTTGCACAGTGGGCCTACGCTTTGCTTCTTCTCTATTTGAATTCCAGTTATGTTAGTAAAGCCGAACTTCAGATATTCTTCTAAATATTTATTTTTTGTTTCTCATTACTTAGGTTTAGTATACCAGTTGGCGACCCCCCAGAAAGCCCTTGGCGACCCCCAGGGGGGTCGCGACCCCCAGGTTGGGAACCCGTGATCTATAGCGATGACACGAGGAAGGAAGGAAGGACTGACACACTACCACCAGCGTTATATTATAGACAGCGTTATAGTATAGATACTGCCTGTCAGTGGCGTAGGCAGGGGGGGGGGGGGGTTAGGGAGGGTCATAACCCCCCCATAGACCCCTCTGTATATAGAAAAAGTATGAGGGGGGGGTGCAAATCGAAAGTTTGAGGGGGGGGGGTGCAAATCGAAAGTTTGAGGGGTGGGTGCAAATCGAAAGTTTGAGGGGGGGGGGGGTGCAAATCGAAAGTTTGTCCCCGGGTAAAAATTGGAACCCCCCCTTGAGACGATCCTGGCTACGCCACTGCTGCCTGTTGTTTATTTGATGGATAAGTTGCGGTATTATAGTCGTTTACTAAGTTGGTTCCGCCGCGCCCCGGCCGATGAGTTTAGATTTGTTTATTTTTCGCATGTTTACGTGTATATCCAAGCTTCAGGGGCTTAGATAATACTGAGAAAGCCACCTAATACAAAGGCTAATGTGTATAAATTCTTTTGCTAAATCCCAACCAGTCTTCTTTGTGTGTGTGACCTATCTTGGAATATTAGCGTATTTTCATTAGCATTTGTTTACTTATTGTTTTTCGTTTCATTTCACACACACACACACACAAACACACACACACACACACACAAGCACACACACATATATATATATATATATTTATTTATGGGGCCCCAAAAAATTTCAGCCGGGGCCCCCGCTCAGCCTTAATCCGCCCCTGCTTCCAGGCATCTCTTCGGAGTCACTTTTACCAGTGTCCCCCCCCCCCCCCCCCCCAAGAAAATATCAAGTGCCCCCCCCCCCACCAGTGGCGGAACTAGAAAAAAAGGGCCACCCCGCAAAAAAAATTTCTGGCCCCCCCCCTATATATATATATATATATATATATATATATATATATATATATATATATATATATATATATATATATATATATATATATATATATATATATATATATATATATATATATATATATATATATATGACAATATATTTAAATTATCGGAAATCGCTAAAAAGTTGATAGGGATCTACGATTTTGATAAAATACTTATGTACGAATTTCATCAACCTGGCTGTAACGGTACTCAAGTTATCGTGTTTACACACGCACACAGACACACGCACATACAGACACACAGACATACGGACAAGATTGTAAAATTATGTTTATCCGTATCAGTGAAGTGTAAAACGTCGAGATTTGCAAAAATCTCGATTTTTTCCCCCACGATTACAAGACTTTCTCTATACTTCGTATATACGAGAAAGTAAAAAAAAACAACACTTTTACCGCTCTGAAAGAAAAGAGGAGATAACTCCAGCTTTACTTATCAGTAACTGTACTGTTAAGTTTGAGCTTTCTTTACTGGCTAATTTTATAGTATCATCTTGTGACATTTCGTACCGCATGAGCAGCGAAAGGAGTCTTTTTTTCCCGAACACAGTCAAGTGCAGCTAGACACTGTCATGTGTATATTATCTAGATCTACTTGTTCATGTCCACTTAAGTGCTCTCATCGCAAATGAAAATGTTTTTCAAAAATTTAAGAACAAAGTGGGAATAGCTATGGCTCTACACATGGATGTAAGTAACAGCAGATTTATTCTATTTAATAACAAAGCAATGTTTCCTGATTAGTACATAATAAGACATTTTAATAACAATTATAGATAGTTGTGGTTTTAACATAGTTCTTCTAATTCTTTTGTGAATAGTCCAAGCCATATTGTTAATGTAATGCCCTGATGAAACATTTAAATTATAAAGAAGGCTTTTATTATATCCGTGTTGGGTAAGAGTAAGTTTAGGTCAAGCATTTATGTTAGTGTTGTAGTGTTCAACATCCTATTACTACTATACTCAACATCCGTATACTTCTCATAACTATTATTACTCTATTCTACATCCGAAAATGCTATTAGCCTATTTAAAAACAACTATATTAGTCAACACCCTACTTCTCTTTTCAATATTTTACCTTTAATTTTTCATCTTAATTCTCTATTCAACATCGTGTTATTATGTTCGAAATCTTACTACTCTGTTTAACATCTTACTACTTGCACATACTACTACTCTATTACACATCTAACTACTCTATTAGACATCTTACTACTCTATTACACATCTAACTACTCTATTACACTTCTTACTACTCTATTAGACATCTTACTACTCTATTACACATCTAACTACTCTATTACACTTCTTACTACTCTATTACACATCTTACTACTCTATTACACATCTTACTACTGTATTACACATCTTACTACTGTATTACACATCTAACTACTCTATTACACATCTTACTACTCTATTACACATCCCACTTCTCTATTACACATCCCACTTTTGTCGGCTATAGCTTTAACGATACGTCCGTTTGCTATTTTATTACGTTCCAACACTAATATCAATTTTCAAAAGTCCTTTTCATTTAAGTTAAAGTATACAATAAATTTCTCTAGATTTAGAATCTAAAGATCCGCTGTCGAAGGAAGTTATAGATCTAGAATCTAGGGGAAACAAAAATTAATCACAATAAATTATTGAGTTTCTTTATTAAACTATTTTAGTCCTTAAATATTTGATATAATACAAGTGATTTCTATCTAGGTTCTAGATCCATATTGATAGAACTACGAGAAAACTCGATTTAACAAAACCAGTCGTATAATCTATATAACTCTATCTTTAGATCTAGATAATAATGAGTTTCTATACTAAACTATTTCAGACCTTCATTATTTTATATAAATCTTTGTTTGTTTAGCTATGGAATTGGCTAATTTAAGATAAAATTTAATTTGAAATAATACTAGATCTAGGGCCTTTTCGCGTAAATCAAGTTTCTTAAGCAGACTCAAACTATTAATATAGAGCACAAAAAACTTCATTGACGTGAAGAGCCTAGATAGGCTTCCATGCGGGTGGCACGGGTTCTAGACATTTCATGTCAATGTTAATTTTTTTTCATTTTTTTTTAAAAATTGGAATGATAAAGTTGCCTATCGGAACTTGGTGGGATACAGGGCAGGTGAAGTAGAGTTAATCTGTTTCCTTATCCTCAGCATATGACGTGGTTAGTGTGGTCAGAGTCATGCTCGGCCTAAATATTTTTTTTTTAAAACGATAAACCATGTGGTCTGAGACTTGGCAGGGCACTGGGCAGGTGAAGTAGAATTGGGTAGGTGTATAGTTAACCTGTGACTTCAGTATACGAAGAGATAGTGTGGTCAGACCCAAGCTCAGCTGTAATCTGTGTTTTGAAAGACAAAAACATGTCTGAGTTGGGGGGATACTGGGCAGGTGAAGTTGAGTTGACCTGTTTTTGTGACCTCAGCATATGAAGAGATTGTGTTGTCAGACCCATGCTCAGCCGAAATCAGTGTTTTTAAAAGACAAAAACTTCTGAGGTGTGACGTCCTTTTTTAATGTGAGGGTCTGGTTTTTTGTGACGATAAGTGACAGACGTGATGTTTTTTATTGATGTTTTTTTTTATAACCCACAGTTATCCAAGGGATGACGGGTAGTCTAGTTTAAAATTAAACTTTTTGAGGGAGTTAATTTCCTTCTTCCTATCCCAGAATTTTACGGAAATGAGTTAACTGTTAGACAAGTGATGCACGATCAGTTGCAGCTTTACTTGGGCGTTTCTTTTCCGTTAAAATAAAACCCGCGGATCAGGTTCCTCGTATCTTAAATTGTGATTTAAAAATCACTCGCTCGACTGTTCGTAGGCCTATCTAAAAATATGAATGTCGGGGCACTCGTAAGCCAAGTTACGACTGTAAGGGGGGGGGGGGGGGTGAGGGGGGGAGGGTCACAGCAGGGGCGTAGCGACCGGGGGGGGGGAGGGGGCGAGGGGTGCCGACCGCACCGGGTGACACCATTCAGGGGGTGACACCAAAGCAAAAAAAGAGCAAAATATATCGAGAAAAATTATAATTCCACTTAATTCAGTGATTAATTCGAGTATTAAATAATCTTTTAAGAGGTGCAAATCGAAAATTGGAGGGGGGGGGGTGCAAATCGAAAATTGAAAGTTTGTCCCCGCTGGGGGTGGCAACATTAAGTGCCGCACCGGGTGACACCCGACCTCGCTACGCCACTGGGTCATAGTCTGCATATTGTAGCGCATTATGGCGCCTTTTTCGGAGAATAATTAAATAGAATTTAAAACAAATCCCGCAACACAAAAAATCAAACAAACAACAGCAGCAATAGCAAACACATTACTGAAACTATGAATTAAAAACTGCCATGTTATGTACCGTAAATATCACATTTTATAATAACACATCGCAAATAAATTTGTAGCCTATTGTTTGGGTTACTTATCAGCGCCTAGCTCAATGTCAGACATGTGCGAGTTTTGTCACAGTCTGTCTATTGTAGCGCCTGTACATCTGCTGGTTGTGTTATTCCTGCTGGATATAGACCGTCAACCACCTAAATATCGATCTTAATTCACAAGTGTAGTCTTTGCATGATTTATCAGGCTCTATTCAGCCATCTATCTTTTATACTATTTTGTACTATGAACTTTGTGTTTTAAAATCAGTCTATTGACATAGGTTTCATTTTGACCTACAGTGTGTCCCATATAATACGACTTTGCTTATTATTGATATGTAAATACTAACAGGAAAGGAAAATGCATGTCTTTTGCCATTTCTTAAGGCATCTTGTATAGATGCACATAATTTAGTTGAAATTTCATATAATGTGGACTATTATTCATAATGTTCCACCTACTAGATTTAGTTTTCCACTCTATTCAAAAGTGAGGTTTTATACCAGCTCCGCTATCATAAACTTTCTACATGCTTTGATGCTTTAGTATTTAGGATGAAATATATTTAATTCTTATTGTACAAATTATGTTGTGTAAAAACGAATAGTAATAAGCTACTATGTTAAATAATGCGGTATTAATAGATCTGATTGAATTTGATAATAGACATGAAAAGTCTATGTAATCATACTAAATTTAAAAAAAAAGAGTATAGCAGGCGATAAAATTATAGTTACATTTATAAAAATTAAAACCGTTTGGGAACCATGGATTACACTAATTAATATATTTTTTGTATCGAATATAAGCCGTTGAAAAGCCGTTTAGATTTATGTTATCAATTCAAATATTTTCAAAAAATTCTATCAACCTCTCCTTGAAGTCAACTGGAATGGCCAGGGAGAGTAAAACAATAAAATTGTTTTCCATGATAAAAATACACTATAGTGATCTATGGTGTATAGCGTAGTATTGTATTTATATTAAATAATGTAACATCCCTAATCACCTCAAAACCCTGACTTTACTAATCCAAATAAAAAATAAAAGTTTTTCTAAATTACAATTATATTTCTAGTAATTATTTCTTTGACTATTTCTCGCCTTAACGAAACCGGAAGTAATTTTGTATTTATTACACAAATGTTATAAAATAAAAAATTTTGGTTGAAAAATATGTTTTCTGGCAACAAAAAATTGGAACCATTTGGAACCAGCTTTTCAAGTCTATTGCAAATGAATGTGTAGAACTATACATATCTATATTAAGAGAGTGAGTATTTCCCCTACTGTAGTTTGCTAGTCTTAATTAATATTCCATTATCTCAAATTTGTTTTTTTTAAAGAAATACAAAAGAGAATGTGTTGTGTTTCTTGTTTTTGCTTGTGTTATGTGTAATACTTTGTGTTGTATATTGTTTGTGTGATAAATTGTGTTTTGTTCTTTTGTTTTTACAGAGTAATGTCCGAATGTGCTTTTTACCTGATCGAAGCAATGTCATACAGCTAGTATATATTATATATATATATATATATATATATATATATATATATATATATATATATATATATATATATATATATATATATATATATATATATATGGCGCCTTTTTCTCGACTCGCCGCTCTCCCTAACCCGAAAACTGCGGTTAGGGGAGTAGGGGTAGAGAGTGTCACTAAATTTATAAAGAATGATGTATTTCATTTTCCCACGTTTTCTTTAACTTGCTTTCGCGTCTGTTTGTTTGGTTCTCCAATCAAATCTTGCGATCGATATTTCGGGCACTTCCCAGTTAGCTAGCGCGCTGAAATTTTCAGGGAAGCTTTGTTTCCGATGACCATAGAATATTCAATTGTTATTATTACTAAATTGATCCATGGAAACATTTTATTGAGCATTTTAGACCGCTATATACTTGTAGTAAAAACGTGGGGAAAAGGGGACATAACCCAGTAACTGTAATTTGATGAAAACAAGGTTCGGTACTCTCCCTCTTTGCTTACTGAGTAGTGTTCACGCGGTGTTTGTGTACAAACAACCGTAACAAATGGTGGCCAGAATGGGGGAGACGATATGGTCGAGTGGTTGGGCACACGATTGCTATCCCACTCGACACGGGTTCAAATCTATGTGTTCTAGTCAGTAACGTATTCACACAACGTGTTTTTTACGAGTTGTCTTTTTACGAGTTGTCTTTTTACGAGTTGTCTTCGTTTTTTAGTTCAATCAGAAAACGTGGGTTTTTAAAAACTTTTTTAATGATTATTATTATTTCATGTGGGGAAAATGGGGCCTATTGTATATGTTTTATTGTTCAATATATTATTATTTTTTGTATTTTTTAGGGATGATGAATTCTGCTGTTTTGATATAAATGCTTCTCAGAAATATCGGAATACTTTAGACCCATATCAGAAAGAACAGACAAGAATGAATCTTTTTTTAATTGCATTCTTACTGTTTTTGTCAAGAAGAGCTGGTAACTTATACACTGATTATTATTGAATTAAATGAAAATAACATGTAAATAGTGTATGTTTATTGTAAAATACATTTTTAGACTTAAGTAATTATATTAGCAGACTATGTTCTATTTTGTTTAATGTTTTATTAATTTTTTTTTCAGATGGTGACGAAGCAGAAGATGAGGATGGTAACTCTTTACTTTATGTTTTCTTATTTTGTTGGTAGGGGGATAAGCTCCTGTAAAAAATATTTAATACTGGTTAGAAAACAATAATTTTTCTATAGATTTTTATCAAGGTACATCTGCATATGCGATTACCTTTAAAAATAATTGGTGGAAAAATCTTGGTAACTCTGACAACGCGCGACCATCTTGAAAAATTAACCTCTTCATAGGGTTTCACCATTCTTAAAGCATTATATTTTAAGACCAATAAACAATTAATCCATAACATTGTACCATATTTTGGAGTACTCAGCTAAAAAATGCAAGTGCAAATCTTCTAACTTATTTATTACGAATTTTCTAATTTTGGGTCCGTTAGAAATAGCTTTGGGACATAAAAGCTGTCGTAAAGTATTATATTGGGCCACATGACGCCGTGTTGTAATGCTCTCAATATACATACATACATACATACGAGGGGGAGGGGTGGCTAAAACCCTTTCTAAATATAACTATACCCCCAGGGTAATTAACTATTGGGGCGTATGTACAACCTTGGCTAAAACCACGTAGGTTAAACTAATCCTTAGTTTTCAAATAACCAAAAAAAAAAAAGCTTAATTTATAAATTTATTATCTTAAAAGAATATGGAATCAAATTCGAATAATTATGCAAAATAAACCGGGAGTGATCTCCCTTAAACTTTCTCGAATATTCTTATATAACAATACACGGGATGGCAACTTGGGATATAGCCAGGATTTCAAATCAATTTTTAATTGCTTAAACTTTTTAAAATGGAATATAATCTCGTAGAGAAAAGAATTGCGCAGCGAGTAAACGCCAGATAATATGTGTATAATAATGCGGAATATTATTAGTACTTTATAAATTCACATGCGTTTTTTTGAGAAATCGGAAATAGCGTAAATCACTTCTTCCGTTCAACGGAAATTAGTCAAAATTTAACAGAAGGCAGAGAATTAGATCTTTTACTTACATCTGAAATTTCATTAATATATCTGAAACAGAACTCAAGCTATAGGCTTTTGAACAATTGTAAGTAGAATAAGTTCCACTTCTGGTTACCGGAAATCGCTGAAAAGTTGATTCAGAACTACACATTTGATATAATACTTTTGTATGAAATTTCATAAACCTAGCTGTAACAGTACTCACGTTATCGTGTTCACAGAGACATATACACACACACAAACACACATACACACACAGACATACGGACAAGATTGAAAAAATATGTTTTTCCGACTCATGGAGGTGTAAAACTTCGAGATTTGCAAAAATCTCGATTTTTTTTGCACGATTACAATACTTTCTTTATATTTCGTATACGAGAAAGTAAAAATGCTTGTAAGTCTCGGTCTCTCTTACATAAAGTTCGAAATCTCGTTAGGCAAGGAGAGATATACATTTTCGAACCAAAATAATTGTTATGAGCTTAATCACCATTGATACAAAAATAGGGCGGCTGATTGTTTCGAGATTTTAAAATAAAACATTTATAAACATTTTCAACATTATTTCGTTCATATGGCTGGAACTAAAATTAATTGCTACATTTAATGGTATTTTACCACAAAATTTTGAAAATATATATTAAAAAAAAAAAATTTCTTATACGATCGGCATATGTTCGTTTTTGAACCTTGAGTCCTTCACTAAAGTTTTTTTTTCAAGATGGCCGCCGTTGCAAAAGTGTTTTTTTTTCTCGATCCTAACCCTTTAATTATTGTTTAATATGATGATTTGGTATCTTAGTTAAAATCAATGTCTTAACACTGTACAGTGTTTCTATCAACTGTCTTTTCTCAATGCTCCAAGATAGTTACGTACTGCATAAATAAAAAATACAAACAAAAAATCGATAACAACCTACTGAAAAAAAACTTAAAGCTCTATTGTCTGTGCCATGGTTTGTGGGTGGGGTCATAAAGATCGTATAAAATATTGGTCTTTGGAAATGTTATACATTTCAGACACACACACTAATATATATATATATATATATATATATATATATATATATATATATATATATATATATATATATATATATATATATATATATATATATATATAATGCCTATATACTATATATAGGCCGGCTACAGGACATTACCCCCCTGGATATTTCCCCCCGGACATTCCCCCCCCGTATTTACCCCCCCGGAGCAATTACCCCCCAGTCAATTACCCCCCTGTCAATTACCCCCCCCCCCCGGGGAGTTAACCCCCCCCCCCCCTCTCAAGTTAAAATCCTAACTCTAACTAGAATTTTATACCTATATACTACTTTAATCCAAACCTTAAGAAAAAGACCAAAACCTAAGCATCCACCTTAGCCTAAAACTTCACACAAAACCAAAACCAAAGCTAGACACAACCCTAACACTAGCTCTAACCCTAACCCTAGCCCTAACCCTAGTTTTAACCCTAACACTGGCCCTAGCCCTAGCCCTAACCCTAATCCTAATCCTAACCCTAACCCTAACCCTAACCCTAGCCCTAGCCCTAGCCCTAACCCTAACCCTAACCCTAACCCTAACCCTAACCCTAACCCTAACCCTAACCCTAACCCTAACCCTAACCCTAACCCTAACCCTAACCCTAACCCTAACCCTAACCCTAACCCTAACCCTAACCCTAACCCTAACCCTAACCCTAACCCTAACCCTAACCCTAACCCTAACCCTAACCCTAACCCTAACCCTAACCCTAAGCCTAAGCCTAAGCCTAAGCCTAAGCCTAAGCCTAAGCCTAAGCCTAACCCTAACCCTAACCCTAACCCTAACCCTAACCCTAGCCCTAGCCCTAAACCTAGCCCTAGACCTAGCCCTAACCCTAACTCTAACCCTGTCGGGGGGGGGGGGGTAATGTTGTACTGGGCGGTGGGTAATTGACAGGGGGGTAATTGACAGGGGGGGGGGGTAATTACTCTGGGGGGGAATGTCGGGGGGGGGGGGGGGATATCCGGGGGTAATTGACAGGGGGGAAATGCCCTGATGTAGTAATTATTGTAAACAAATTCAGTATTTAATGAAATAGCCAATGACCTACTGCTATTTAAAAACAAATCGATTTAGGCCTATTTCAAAAATATATTTTTACAATTGTTTTTCTCTCGTTAGAAAACCTATCATCCGAAAGACTTGTATATGTTGGAGAGACTATTCAACTTTTCTGCATTGCTGATTTGCATGATAGGCCTACAGATTCTATTTGTTTAAAAAAAGAACTAGGAATTGAAAAACCTATTGAACTAAATTTGTCCAAAAATAATGACAGTAAGACAGCAAGTGTGGAGTTTATGTTCCATGATGTAGATATTGGTGAATGGTTATGTCATTGTAAGGCTGGAAACACAACATTATCTACCACTATTTTATATGTTGAACGTAAGTTGTTATTTATATATATATGGGCTAGCATTAAAAGTATATAGAGGAAGACCAGCACACACACACAGACATAAATACATACAGACAAACCGGGCGGACGGAGACATGGTCAGACAGCTCTCTCTCTCTCTCTCTCTCTCTCTCTCTCTCTCTCTATATATATATATATATATATACATATATATATATATATACATATATATATATATATATATATATATATATATATATATATATATATATATATATATATATATATATATATATATATATATATATATATATATATATATATATACATATATATATATATATATATATATATATATATATATATATATATATATATATATATATATATATATATATATATATATATACTAGCGTACCCGTCACCGCGTTGCCGCGGGGGTAGAAGAAGGGTTTCATCCATACGTTACCAATCCTATATTCTTAGACGCGTAACCTTGTTTCCTAAAAGTGAGTTATTTAAATGTAAACAATGCCTGCGCTTGGATCATAAATACTGGGACGCGGGTTTACCTACACTACCGCATGAAAACCTTATGTGTACATTAATCACTCACCGAAATAATCAGGTAGAACACACTTCAGTGACCACCCATGTGTCAGGGACGAAGAGGGGCGCTCTCAGGAGCACACCCCCCGCCACGTACGGCCCCTGGCTCCTTAAAACTAACAGGCGCCATCGTGCCAAATAGCATCCTTTAACAGAATTCGTCATTCGCAAAAGTGACACAAATGAACAGGATTATTTTCTTTAGCACGTAAAAAAGTATTTGCAGAACCCTACCAGGTAGTGTTCTAATCAACTCCCCAAAGTCTCATGGCTATCGGATGAAATGTTTTGTTTATAGAACCCTTTCCTGGAGTGTTCTTAGGGACTCACCAAAGTCTCATGGCTATCGGATGAACGGTGTCAAACCAAAATCGACTTTAATTTTTATATACCGCATATAGAGAAAAATCGCACCCTCCCGTGGCGCCGCCCTTGCGAAATTAAAATTGATTTTTGTACAGAACCCTTCCCTAGAGTGTTCTAATCAACTCTCCAAAGTTTCATGCCTATCTGATGAACAGTGTGAAATCAAAATAGACTTTTATTTTTATATACCGTATATAGAGAAAAACAAATCGCGCCCTACCGGGGCTCCACCCCTGCGAATTTGAAATTTTTTTTTCGCAGAAACCTCCCCAGGAATATTTTCAAAACTTCCCAAAGTTTCACGGCGATATGATAAGAGGTGTGGTAATGCATAAAAGACACACAGACAGCACACAGACACACACAGACAGACACACAGACACACACATACATTGCTTTATATATATATATATATATATATATATATATATATAGGCACAAAGACACATATGTGTATAATAAATAAATACATTGCAGTATTCGTTTTCAGGTGCATTACAAAATGTTACCAGCTTCTCTGGAGTGTATTTCTACCAAGAGTTCATTTTGTTTCAATGGGAACTAGGAAGGAATTATTTTTTTGATATCAAAGCCAATATAACATGGCTACCTTCGTCTCCCCCGACAGAAAAGTGAGAACACAAAATTAATAAAAACACTTAAGAATTCAAATAAAACATAACTTTCACTACCAGTAGGTAGTTATTTCGTGTCTTAAAACAGTGTCATTTTTCAATTTTGTTCACACCTCTTTCCTTTACAGCAATCATAAGACTTGTGATGAAAGTAATGTCACACACTGTATCATATATTACAAGAACTATTATGGGCAGTCACCAATTTTTGTCAGTATTACATTGATCTCTTCATTTGAAGATAAGAGGTGGAAGAAAGATTTATCAAATCCTACATTTGATAGTCCTGTAACATATATTGCAAAATTTGACGTTAACCGTAACAGTAAGTCAGTTTTATGTTATAATCCAACACTTGTCTTTTGAGAATTAACCATCTCTTCGAGTTTATTTTTAAAGAATTTATTTCTTCTTATATTTAGATTTTAAAGATCCTCATGGATTCTAACTTTAGATATTAAAACAAAAGATAACATAGTTTATTTCAGTTGTAACAATTTCTTTCAGTTATTACTTTTTAAAAATTAAAAACAAATATTATAGGATTGATAAACAATTTTTTTCTTTACTTAGCAAAATCAGATCCACCTCACAATTTCCATGTGACGTCAAAGAATAGCACATGTTTCACTATGTTTTGGACAGATTCTAAATACCTTAATGCTTGTACACTTTGCACAAAGTTTTATGCTGTTCACAAAATATTAAAATCAACCAGTAATGGATCACTTAAAGAGGTTTGTAACATTCATGTGGAGCACATGATGAAGAGAATAAAACATTAAAGAGCAAGTTAGTTGTTATTGCTGAACATTAATTATAGTAATCAAATAATAAAACAAAAATGATTCATTGTGATATAAAAATGAAGTTTATGAAGGTAAAAAGTTTAAATAAGTAATTTTCTTTTGGGCAGCATATGTACAAAACGGCCTTAGGTCAACCATACAATCAGAGTTTTGTAACTGAATGTGGTTTGAAACCTTTTACCAGTTACATACTCCAGCTACAGATTAAGGGATTTGAGTCTGAACCATGGAGCAGTCCAGCAACTACTGAAATCACTACAGATGAATTCAGTGAGTATTCTTCATATTTCTAGAGGTAGGCCCAACTGATATTCTGTATTTACCTTTGTCTGCACGATATAATTAAAGTAGTTATGTGGTCTGTGCATTGAATATCAGTTAAGTTCGCTTTTGAATCTGACTGTCTCTTGGGCAAGTGAAGTAGAGTTCAACTGTTTCTGTGATCTCTGCATATGAAGAGATAGTATAGTCCGCCCAACCGCCTTTACTTTCCCTGATGAGAGTCAGGTACCCATCAAAGCTAGATGGAGGGACGTTCTAATTACATGAACGCGGATTCGAACTAAAAACTTTCGGGTTTTCAGCCATATGTTCAACTATTCGACTACGTCTTTCCATGAATTGAATGTGAATAGTATGACATGTGCTTAGCATAAGTGAGTACCTAGGATTGCAGCGATGGGAAATGAGGGTGCTGATTGCTGACCCGAAAGCTTCAGGTTCAATTCCTATGATGTCCCGTAGACTTCCCAACTCTGGTAGGGCGACGTACCAAACTAGGATTATTGAATGTAAAGGCAACTGGGCATAGAACAGACCACAATATCATTGCAGGTTACACTAATAACTGAACTCTACCCGCCCTATCATGATATCAATAAAGGTATCACTACTTTTATAAAGACATAGCGTTAAAAATGTGTTTGAATAATGCTATAAATGATCATGGATTATATTAAATGTTTTTTTACAGGGCCTTTGACAGGGCCACCTTTACTTACTACAAGCTTTTATGAAGAGGCTTGTGAGTCTAACATGAGAACTGTATATTTATATTGGAATGTAAGTAGATATTATGATGGGAAATGTTTGTCTAACATTAAGACAGTATAAGGGGCATGTAATGTAATATTAGGATATAAGGGGCATGTAATTTAACATTCGGACAGTATAGGGGGCCTGTAAAGTAACGTATGGACAGTATAAGAGGCATGTAATGTAATACTAGGACAGGAAAAGGTGCATATAATGTAATACTAGGTCAGTATAAGGGGCATATAATGTAATACTAGGACAGTATAAGGGGCATATAATGTAATACTAGGACAATAAAAGGGGCATGTAATGTAATAATAGGACAGTAAAAGGGGCATTTAATGTAATAATAGGACAGTATAAAGGGCATGTAATGTAATACTAGGACAGTATAAGGGGCATATAATGTAATACTAGGACAGTATAAGGGGCATGTAATGTAATAATAGGACAGTAAAAGGGGCATATAATGTAATAATAGGACAGTATAAGGGGCATGTAATGTAACATTCGGACAGTATAATGGGCATGTAATGTAATACTAATACAGTATAAGGGGCATGTAATGTAAGACTAGAACAGTATAAGGGGCATGTAATGTAATACTAGGACAGTATAAGGGCATGTAATGTAATACTAGGACAGTATAAGGGGCATGTAATGTAATAATAGGACAGTATAAGGGGCATGTAATGTAACATTCGGACAGTATAATGGGCATGTAATGTAATACTAATACAGTATAAGGGGCATGTAATGTAAGACTAGAACAGTATAAGGGGCATGTAATGTAATACTAGGACAGTATAAGGGCTTGTAATGTAATACTAGGACAGTATAAGGGGCGTGTTTGTCTAACATTAGGATGTTGAAAGAGGCATGTGAAAAAACCCACTTGATTTTCATAAGCCAGGTTCTATCTATAGATCAGTCATTATAGATGAAGGAAGTTTTATAATAGGCCTACAAATACAGTAATAAACAACTTGAGGGTTGCTCTTGTATGTTTTTAATTTTTTACCTAAAGAAACTATAACTATAATAGTGTATCATTTGAGTGTGTTTTGCAGTGTTCCTCCTCCCCTCAAAAAGTGTATGGTGCCCCATAGAGAAAAAAACTGAAAGAAACACTGGTGTTCAATGGCGTAGCCCGGAATTTTTCATAGGGGGGGGTGGTTGTATGTGTATGTGTATGTGTATGTGTATGTGTATGTGTATGTGTATGTGTATGTGTATGTGTATGTGTATGTGTATGTGTATGTGTATGTGTATGTGTATGTGTATGTGTATGTGTATGTGTATGTGTATGTGTATGTGTATGTGTATGTGTATGTGTATGTGTATGTGTATGTGTATGTGTATGTGTATGTGTATGTGTATGTGTATGTGTATGTGTATGTGTATGTGTATGTGTATGTGTATGTGTATGTGTATGTGTATGTGTATGTGTATGTGTATGTGTATGTGTATGTGTATGTGTATGTGTATGTGTATGTGTATGTGTATGTGTATGTGTATGTGTATGTGTATGTGTATGTGTATGTGTATGTGTATGTGTATGTGTATGTGTATGTGTATGTGTATGTGTATGTGTATGTGTATGTGTATGTGTATGTGTATGTGTATGTGTATGTGTATGTGTATGTGTATGTGTATGTGTATGTGTATGTGTATGTGTATGTGTATGTGTATGTGTATGTGTATGTGTATGTGTATGTGTATGTGTATGTGTATGTGTAATGTGTAATGTGTAATGTGTAATGTGTAATGTGTATGTGTGATGCATGATGCATGATGCATGGGGGTCATCCATAAATGACGTCACACTCGTAGGGGCGAGGGGGGGTCCGTAATTTTGTGACGATGTGTGATGAGGGGGAGGGGGGGGGGGTTCAGATGTATCGACGTCACATTTTTGCATTATAAAAAAGCAATGTTAGAAAACGAATTTTAGACGTTATTTCGCGTTTTATTTAACTGTTTTAATAAATTGTAATAGTTTAGACAAGATTTTGGAAAAATATCGATGTTTAAAAAAAATTCAACTGCAATTTTGAGGGGGGTTGTAGGTTGAGGTGTGACGTCATTTTGGGGGGGGGGGGGTCTGGCTTTTTGTGACGACGTGTGACGGAGGGGAGGGGGGAAGTAAAAATCGTCCAAAAAAGCGTGACGTCATTTATGGATGACCCCATGATGCATAATGTATTATACATTATTATACATTATACAGTATAATGTATAATGTATATGTATACTGATTCAAACATATTTGAGTAAGGTACAGCAGTATTATGAAAATAATTTTTTTCTTACATAAGGGTTCATGAGGTTGGGGGTGGGTGGGAGTTATGACTCCCCCCCCCCCCCCCATGCCTACGCAAATGCTGGTGTTATGTACCCACTTATTATCATTCTTACTAAATGTTTTACTGAATTAACTCTCTTTATTTCTTTTGTTTAAAACATAGGAGCCGAGTCAGGATTCGCTGCAAGGAATACTTACAGAATATATTCTTTCAGGGATTGATGACAAATTAATACATTTACGATGGGGATCAAATTACATTTCAACAAAACTTAAATGTAATGTGTCTTATAACATATCAATTATGACCTCTACAAAAATTGGTGTATCCATTCATCCATCTGTAATCAACATTCCAGTTTATGATGAATGTAAGTGTCTTTACTAAACTTAGAACATTAAATACTGTCTGTACTCACTAGGAAACACTTACCTACTATTTTAAATGCATACCTCCTCTGTAAATGTATGTGCTTTATTTTGAGTTTTAAAAACTCACAGAAAAATTGACCACTTTAAGATGCGACACAAAGTTGAAATTTGGTAAGGAGATATCTCTGGTGAAAAACCCGAAAAATAAAAATTCTCAGAAAAGAAAATTGAACCGTTGTACCGCTCATTCTACATTTTACCTATTAAAGGAACGTAACTGCATCATGCATCTAAGCTTTTAATTTCACCCGTTCTTAGTCTACACACAAAAATAAACAATGAAAACATTTGGATAAAAGAAAAATTCCTTAAAATTTTTACTAAACGGTTTTCAAATAAGTGTAAAAGTTATTATAAATTGATCAGTTTGACAGCTTAATTTTACCTATTTAAAGAGACATAACTGCGCCAGAAATTTAAACTTTAATTTCCCTAGTTCGTTGACTAAATTAAACTTTTAATTTCCCTCTTTCTTTGACTACACACAAACATAAACGGGGAAAAAATTTGGACAGAAGAACAATTCTTTCAAACTTTTAAACTAATTTTTTTTAATTAGCTATGAAAATTAATTCAATAAACGACTAATAATTAATATTTTGATTAATAGCTGATTTAAACAAAGCAAATACGTCACAGATACACAAAGAAGTTCATTAATGAGTTTGGTGCGCTGTTTCCGAGGCACAAGGGTTATTTTTACTTCCCAATAGGGCATTACAATGTTATCTTTAACACTGTTAATCTGTTCAATCCTAATATATAAAAGACCATGTACGCAATTCTCCTTCTATCTGCCCGTAACATTTTTAGGCGATGTGATCAATATTTACAGCGACATATGGAGCAGTGGCGTAGCTAGGTCGGGTGTCACCCGGTGCGGCACTTAATGGTGTCATCCCCTCAGAGGCGTAGCGACCCTTCCCGGGGACAAACTTTCAAATTTTCGATTTGCACCCCCCCTCAAGTTTTTCTCTATATATTTTGCTATTTTTTGCCTTGGTGTCACCCCCCCCCCCCCCTAAATGGTGTCACTCGGTGCGGTCCGCACCGCTTCGCCCCCCCCCCCTCGCTTCGCCCCTGATATGGAGAACTTAAAGATACGGACTTTTGTTGAAAATAATATGGTGGTTGTATAAACACGATTTTATTTAAAGATGGAAAATAAAAATAAAGGCATATTCGAATGTAGAAACACATTTCTAACTTGAAAATGTTTACTGTTATGACAAGAACGCATTAAACATTGACGACATTTGCCACATGTTTAAAACTACGGAAAGAACACAAAGCTAATGGCGTCATCTTCCAATTTTAGAATATAAAGAAATGAACATTCAAATTTGATTTAGATCTACTTATAAAGACCTACGCTATGAAATGTATACAATTTTCTCGGCCTAAACTAATAACATTTACTTTTAAAAACAACATAACTACCATTAAACAGCGGGTTTTAATATGGTGCAGTGTTAACTAATAATGTATATAATTTGGTTTTAATTTTTCTAATAGGTATTGGTAGTCTATGTTATTTTAAATGTGTCGGATTTTTTTTAGCTCTTTAGTTATTTCTTTGCTTTGTCACTAATATCGTTCAACGTGTAGTAAAGCACGTAGCTTTTGACCAATAACTTTTTAAATAAAAATAATAATTCAAACAATTAAGTTAAATTTAATGCCATGTTGCATTGTCTTCAATTCTTGACCGGCGTACTAACCGCGAACCGTATCTTTCAGTTAGAAGTGCCCGTAATTTCGCTCGGCCGTTTCGATCTAGACTGACGACAGACTGACGACAGAGGAAGTGAGTTAAATAAAAGCTTGTGAAAAAACGACGCGATTCTATCTACTTAAAAAAATCCATATTAAGTTTCGTCGTGGTTTGTGTGTGTGTGGGGGGGGGGGGAGGGGGGGGGGGGTTTGCAAAATAAAAATAAATATATAGAGGTGTTGTGGTCTAAGGTGCTGTTACGTAACGTTACAGGGGTAGGAGGTGCTTTAAAAGGGATCTTAACAGTACTCCCCTCCCGTTAGTTACCCCCGTTAATTTCACCAACGTCATTACCCCACCTCCCAGGGCATTATCCCGACCAAAAACTGCAGAAGGACATTACCAGCCCCATGGCAGTTAACCATCGGTTGGGGTAGCGGCATCGGTCATGGTAGAGCTCACAAAGTTGGCGGTCATAGTAACGGCGGTGGTGGTGGCGGTAACATTAAAGGTAACGGCAACGGTAACTGCAATGGCGACTACAACAGTAACAGTAACCAGTGGCGTAGGGGCCCCAAAATTTTCACTTGTAAACCATAGGCCTAGTGAATTTCACTTGATAACCTAATTTTTTTTACTATAAAAATTAATGTTTTAAAGCATAAATCACAATTGTTTTTCCATTTTTTTTCCAAATATCAAACACGTGCACACAATTTAGTAAAAATAACAGCTGTCATCACCTCCTACTCAGACGTTGTTTACATTAAGCTGATAACATAGTCCGGACCAGCGTTTGCTTAAGTAAATAAAAAGAGTTGATTTTAGAGTTTTAAAAAAATATCACAAACAGCAGCAGAATTCAGACCAAAAAGTTTAGGGCCTACGATTGACCCTCTATAAAATAGTAAGATAGGAATTTAAAAGTCATTTTTCAGATAACGCCAGATTGTGTAATAAGGGAGTAATCATATAATAAAGCACACATGCTAGGCATAGGGTCTACACTGTTTATGCGGAAATCTCACTCGCAATCATTTTAAGGTGCCCCCAAATTCACCCCAATAACTAATTTAAAAAATTTTCTACAGACGTTTATTTCTGTTAGTTAATTCATTGTTTTAATGTCTACATTACAAGCTATTTTTTAAACAAAGGCCATACAAAAGTCCCACTTCGAAACGCCCCCCTTCCAGTGTTTACAGCAGTTTTCATCGCTTTCCCCACGGAAACTGTTTACCTAAAGCAGGGGTCTCCAAACTACGGCCCGCGGGCCGGATGCGGCCCGCGAGGTCATTTTATCCGGCCCGCGACGATCTTTTTGTCCACTGAATACATGTTTGTTGGAGGTGGCTGAGGAGCTTTGCACAAAAAATTCAAAACTATTTGAAAATATAGCTTTGTGTGCAAATACAATTACTCGCCGTGTTGCAAACATTGGTGAAAACATTGCGACTCAAATAGCAAAAAATTCAAGCAAGTTTCGCCATTTTTTAATTGCAATGGATGAGTCGCTGGGCAGCTATTCCACCTCTCAACTTCTTGTGTTCATTAGAGGTGTGGATGAAGACCTGAACATAACACAAGAGCAGGCTTCACTACATAGAATGTATGGCACTGTTACCGAAGACGATATCTAACCATAGATAGACAAACTTAAAATTGCAAGATTTACCATATTTCACATAAGTAAGATTGCTAATTTTGCGAAAAAAATTCTGAGCAGAGTGTCTAAGAAAAGAAATAGGTGACTTCCCGATAGTAAAGGCAAGTCAAAGCCATCATTGTCTGATGAAGAGTGGGTATAGAAATTGGCCTCTGATGCAGACATAACTAGTCATTTAAATTTTCTGAACCTAAAACGGCAAGAGAGTGAACTCTAGTTTCTGATCTATTTTCTGATCTATACACCCCCCTAAAAGCAAATGTAGACCTCTGGTGGGGGGGGGGGGGGCGGGGTGGACACTTGAAATTTGTATATATTTCTATATAAATTATATTTCTTTGGGGGGGGGGGCGGTAGACGTTCTTCGGGGGGGGGGGGGGGGGCACCACGACCCTGAAGAGATGCCTTAAAGAAACTCTGGCCCCCGAACTGATATTTAATAGTTAATTCGGCCCTCGGGCTGAAAAGTTTGGAGACCCCTGACCTAAAGCGACTCATCTTTTATAGTAGAGGTACTTTTTCTGTCACATGAATGGGTTCATCCGCCTGTGTCAGAAAAAAACAACTGAATCTCATCGAAACAAACTAAAAAAACAACAAATTTTACTACACGTTTGTTTATGACTAATGTATTAACATATGGGGGCCCCCAAAAAGTTTTCAGCCGGGGCTGTAACAGTAATGATTGGATATAATAAAGAGTATGGATGTAGTGAAGATTAAGGATAAGCAACTGGGTTAGGGATTGGGAGATGACAATGTGGAAAGAAAGGGATAGGTACTGGTATAAGATGTATTGTGTAGTGGGGTAATTACACAGGGTGGTAATCGAGTGGACGTAAATGATCTGGGGGCTAATGACCGTGTGAAGGCAGTAGTGGCGAACGTCCTACACCAAGGGAAAGCATGTCACATTTTAGATAATATTAAGGTTGAATTTGCTTGTTTTAAGTTAGGTTTTGATATAATAATATGTTGGCAATTCTGTACATATTATTCAATTTTTATGTTTATAGTTGATATAGAGTATGCTGTATGTGTATAATGTTTTGTTACACTTAATGATATTTTTTTTCATTTTTTTTTTATTTCGTTACGTTAACATTAATTTTGCAATTGTTTGCTGTGTACTCTTTCATGATACTATTCTGTTATTTCATTTTTGTATATTTGATTGTATCATATGTGGTTGTTGCTAACGAGTAGTGGGAATGTAAGTAACACGCGATTTTCTTTGTTAATGCTTTGCTCTCGTTTTTGTGTAACAAGCCGTGGTATTGAGGAAAGGCAGATGCCGTGAAGGTTCATTTTTAGAATTGCGTGCTGTTGTTGTTTTGCATACATAAGTGCGTTAACATTTACATTTAGACATGCTGATGCCAAGCATTGCCGAAAACGGCTAATATATATATATATATATATATATATATATATATATATATATATATATATATATATATATATATATATATATATATATATATATATATATGTGTGTTACGGTCAAAGCCCGAAGTCGGCCAATGCTAGGATTGGCCGGCCAATCCGCGCATTGGCCAATATCGCCTCCAATAGGTCGGTCAAAGTCCGAAACTTTGCTTGATTTCGGCCTTTGGCCGGCCAATCCGCAGACTGGCCATGGTGGACCAGCCAAAGTCTGAAATAGCTCTTGATTTCGGCCTTTGGCCGGCCAGTCCGCGGACTGACCATGGTGGACCGGCCAAAGTCTTAATTAGAAGATCATCTGGCTAGGGACGACCGGCCAAAGTCAGAATTAGAAGATCATGAGCAGATTTTGTTTTTTTAATGCCGTAATGATCATGAAATTAAGTCTTTATAGATTATTAATTAAAGTAAATGACAGAAACATTCAAATTTTTTTATTGTACTATAGTCTCAATCTATCAATATCATTTGTTACAAGTTGAACTTTTATGGCATTTAGAATTACATAGCAGCTTGTTATTTTTACACTTGCAGCGATTTGTTGTGCACTTAGTTGTGCAATTGAAGCGAGTGTACCCTTGGCCCCCAGTCAATGATTGTGAAGATGCGATGGTTCGTAGTGAATTTTCCTCAGTGCCAACTGACGACAATAAGAGCAGTTTTTCGTGAAGAATTGAAAACTCGCTTCTAGCATACAGTTGTTTTAGAACACCATGTTCCGTTTCTAATTTGTAGAAACCACCCTCGACGCTCATGACAACTGCAATCACGCTTCGGGGATCACCGTGACCTCTGTCAACATCTGGAAAACGGATGCGTACATTGTCACCCACTTCACTATCTTTAAATTTTGTATTTGATGTTTTAAGCATCTTAGCACCTCAAGTTTGCAAGCCAGTTTGAGCTGCTGATCTGTGTTCCATGATGTCTTGTTTGTTGTGACACAATCTGCAGGTAATGTTCCCTCTGTACCCTTCGTCTGCTTCATTGGGTATTCCACAAATAGCATGGACATCGTAGCCACAGGATCCAAAAGAATGGGCTGCGCTACAATGTTTTTCACAAACTATACAGAATCTGTTGGCCACATTATTGTCACGCAACTGGTCTGGGCGTTCCGCCACGGCAGTAGATGTGTTAGCTGAGGATGTCGTCGCATTTATGGCTACCTCCATTTCTTGTTCAATGTTCTCAAGATCTTCCTCAGTAACTATTTTATCGAGAGCCCATATATGGAAGCTAACATGGATTTACATTTTTTTTCTTTTGACAGCCATCTGTTATGTCTGTCTCATGGTCTGACGGCCCTTTTTGATCCATGTCGCCTTGCATATAGAATGCTATACAAACAAGAGCTAAACAATACGTTACTCTCAATGAAAACGCACCAAGAATAATGAAAATGCGATCACAACTTAGTCTAGATAGAACATTGGGCAGGACATCCCGGCCAGTGCGCGCATTGGCCGGCCAATGTACAAAATATGCTGTCAAGTTTAAGCGCTTCGGACTTTGGCCAGTACGTCCCGGCCAGTGCGCGCATTGGCCGGCCAATGTACGAAATACGATCTTAGTGCTAAGTTCTTCGGGCTTTGGCCAAGAGAGCCGGCCAATGCGCGGACTGGCCGGCCAATCCGCGCTTTGGCCGCACTTCGGGCTTTGACCGTAACATATATATATATATATATATATATATATATATATATATATATATATATATATATATATATATATATATATATATATATATATATATATATATATATATATATATATATATATATATATATATATATATATATATATATATATATATTATGTATGTATAAACAAACAAACAGCCAACCATCCAACCAACCAACAAAAAAAACAAACAAAAAATAATTTAAAAATTCAATAAATAAAATAAATAAATAAATAAACAAACAAACAAACAAACAAACAAACACACACACACACACACACACACATATATATATATATATATATACATGGCGAATAATATTGAATAAATGCTCAAGACAACGCATTTAAGTGAAATGAAATTTAATGAGTTAAAAAAACAATTTCAGTGTTAACTACATCAGCTGTTGGTGAGCTCCTAGTTCAAGAGATGTTCAAAACGGATATTTCCTTGACTTTGATGAATCTTTCAATCATATGGACTGCAAAAAATTCAGAGAATATAACTTTATTTTTTTATATGTGCGAAGAAAGTTATCTTCCTTTTACATGTTTTGTAAGTAGGCCCTAAAGTATATTTTGATGTATTTATGCGTTAATTACTTTAAAATGATGTTTTTTTCCCTTTCTAAGTCTGGTTTTTGACATATCAGACTGTGAACCCTTTATGGTCAAGTCACAGACATTCTTGACTACATGTAGGCCTATTTGACCTCTACATGTAGGCCTATTTGACCTCTACATGTAGGCCTATTTGACCTCTACATGTAGGCCTATTTGACCTCTACATGTAGGCCTATTTGACCTCTACATGTAGGCCTATTTGACCTCTACATGTAGGACTATTTGAACTCTACATGTAGGCCTATTTGACCTCTACATGTAGGCCTACTTGACCTCTACATGTAGGCCTATTTGACCTCTACATGTAGGCCTATTTGACCTCTACATGTACGCCTACTTGACCTCTACATGTAGGCCTACTTGACCTCTACATGTAGGCCTACTTGACTACATCTAGGTCTACTTGACCTCTACATGTAGGCCTATTTGACCTCTACATGTAGGCCTACTTGACATCTACACCAAGGCCTACTTTACCTTAACATGTAGGCCTATGACCTTTACATCTAGGCCTACTTGACTACATCTAGGTCTACTTGACCTCTACATCTAGACCTACTTGACCTCTGTGTATGTAGGTATATTTGACCCAACATTCAAGCCTACGTGACCTCTACCTATAAGGCTTCCTCATCTCTTTAGAGATCTCTTAATGCAAAAACCTCCCTATACATCAATATAATGAAGGTCAGACTTCAGATAGTTGAGTAGTAAAAGAGTAGAACAAATCATTTTCTCTTAAGCTGACACTTGAGAATTTGCAGTTTTCAGCCTGGATTTACTTAAAAAGTAATATCTATTTGATTAAGTTTCACATCATTTGATTAACTTGAACATCATCCAGGATGATATGACCGTGGCTGAAAGTGAACTCAGTGCTGGTAGACTGATCCTAAACAATATTAGTATTAAAAAAACCTTGCTTGGCTTTGCATTGTTACATAAGAATGGGAAGAAAAAAGGAGTTAGTTGGATCAACTGTGTTTACAGAAAGGATTCTAGTGAGTATTTCATATATAGGCCTACCATTGAGTAAAAACTATTAGCTGTTACAAATGTTAAGTGTCACATTGTAAAGTCAAAACTGCTTTCAGAGCTTACCAAACCTGAAGGGTTAGCTGTTACAGCTGGACGCCACAACCTGTTGGTCAGCTGGATCTCAACTCCATGCAGTAGAACTACTAAAGTTTTGATTCTCCAGTACACGATCTCTGTATGTAGAGCCCTAACAGTGCAACCAGACACATGTGCTAGAGGTAAATAATAATAAGTAAAGCGGGAGTGATTTCCCCTAAACTTTCTCGCATATTCGTTTATAACATTAGGGGATGGTACTTTCAGTGCAATCTGGCTGTAGAAATATTGAAGTTTGTGAAAAAAACGCTCATTTTTTGAGAAAATACATAGAATGGAACATTTCGCAGAATATGCTTTGTAAAAATATGATATAAAATTATGAAAGCCTGAAGGTCTTTGAGAAATAGGAAGTGGGGCAAAACAACCCATATAAGCACTAAATTCCCGCTGTATTATATACATACAAATAGAATCGCATTGACAAAGAATTGCGCACCAGAAGTGAGCCAAAGTTATAAAAGTTTTATGGTTTTCTGAGAAATCGGAAATAGCGTAGTAAAGTACTATTTCCAGTCACCAGATATTATTAAAAATTTGACAGAATCAAGATAATAATATTTTACACATTTGTATGAAACTACGTCTATATAACTGAAACGTAGCTAACATTTTGAGTATTTTAGAAACATTAAATAGAATAAAGCACCCTTTCTGGTTATTGGAGGTCACTCAACTATATATATATATATATATATATATATATATATATATATATATATATATATATATGAAATTTCGTCTACCTAATTGAAATAGTAGCCCCTAACTCAAGTTATCGTGTTCACACGGAAATACAGTCAAATACCACTTCCAATTTATAATCGTTCAAAAGTTGATAGAAACCTGTACGAACAACAACGTTAAATTTGTCCACCTAACTTAATTAAACAGTGCTCAAGTTATTGGCTTTTGAGAAACTGGAATAATTTTATAACACTTCTGTTTAAGATTTTAGCACGATTATAATGCATCTTTTATATACCGTATATGATAAAGTATGTAGATAGTAAACTGTGGAATCAGTTCAAAATTGTTAATTATTCAGCACTATTACAATATCATCATTCTCTTGCCCAGCTTGTTTTAAAATGTGCATTTTTATAGTTTTTATTGTGTACGAGGCTATTTAAATTCCTCTAGTTACTTATGTTGTTTCTATTTCTTTAGGTAAATGACAGCCATGGAGTTGTTTTTTTGTATTAATTTTTCAGTTTTGTGAAATGTAATACTTTTACTTGCTTTCAGTTTATAATGTCAGTAGCGCAATCGATACATTTGCTGTAGACAATCTGTTGTCAAATGAAGAATATTATGTCTATATACAAGCTGTTTCACCATTTAGCAGAGGACCAGCTTCCGAGCCCAAGAAAGTAAAAACTTTAAGAGGTGAGGTGTAGTCTGTCTTCTTCATTCTTTAAGTAGTTTTGTATTTTGTAGGTTGATTTAGTAGTTTAAAGCAAATTTATTTTTTTAAAAATGTAGGCTATGTGAGCATTAGATTTTCTTTTGGCCTGACAATTAGAAAAATCAACAAAGGTTTTATAGGTGAAAAAAAACAGGAATATTAAAAGTATATTGTTTTATATATATATATATATATATATATATATATATATATATATATATATATATATATATATATATATATATATATATATATATATATATTCTGAAAAATATTGCAGTTTGCTTGAGTAGATATTTTATTTTACCAGTCAGTAAATCTGTTTATTATTTTGAAAAAAGAAAGATTAAACCTAAAAACCAGTTAGTGAATAGGGCCTTTTGTGACCTCAAGTTATAGAGATAAAACCACTACGCTAATCGTTGAAAAGAACAAAGTGAAGGGAACTTGTTTCCTTAAAATCTTTCAGATTCTTATGATGATAATGTTTATGTGCTTGGTCTACTTTTGTCTTGCACCATCATTATCATTGGCGCCTGTTTCCTTCTGGCATGGTAAGTCAATTCGTTCATTACATTTTAGTGTGGGTGTTTATTAGATAAAAAGCTCAAGCTTATTCAGTCTAGAGCAATGGTTCTTAACCTGGGTTCGATTGAACCCTAGGGTTCGGTTAGTCAGTCTCAGGGGTTTGGCGGATGTCAAGAAACACACTCGACCCATATGATTTATGATAGTATTTAGTCAGTGAGGACGATAGAACTATCAAGATGTGTTCGGTGAATGCGCATATCAAAACTGGTGGGGTTCGGTACCTCCAAATAGGTCTATAACAAGCATTGGATGAAAACAAAACAACAGTCAGATAACTAATTTTAGTTGAAAGATATGTAGATCTAACAATACGTTAACAAATATTGGCATAGTATTGTTAAAAAGGCTGAGGAACCTTTATGAATGAAAAGAAATATTATTTTGTTTGTATTTGTTTATAATATGAGGTTTGATGTGATTGTGTTTTAAAGGACGTGCTATTTCTAGTCTTTACAGGAAATGTTATAAAAGACGAATTCACTTCGACCAGTTCAAAGAGGAGGTAGGTTCAATTGCCAACAGATAAAAAAATAATTGAAATTTTTTTTAAAAAAAAAACTAATAGTTTGTTAAATGCCTGATAAACCAAACTAATAGTAACTAATTTACAAGCTTGATATCTATTGATGAGTTTAATTATCATAAATAATGAATGCAAATATTAATCAATTTTTATTTGATTGTTTATTTCAGTTCCTCTTTAAAAAGTCTGGAGTTTTTGATCTTAACTGCCATTGTCAAGTAGAACATCATAATTGTTTCAAATCACAGTTAGAAGGTCATTTCACTTGCCATCCTTGTGATACACAACGCACATTTAATACAATAGTAAAAAATGTTTTCTATACGAATATTCTTTTACAGGAGAGCCTTCCTAATAAAGAACCTATTCCATCTAATATAGAAAACTCATGTTCTCTCAATAGCTCTTCAGAAGTCCCAGCTATAATAGAAAACTCATGTTCTCTCAATAGCTCTTCAGAAGTCCCAGCTATAATAGAAAACTCATGTTCTCTTAATAGCTCTTCAGATGTCCCAGCTATTATAGAAAACTCATGTTCTCTCAATAACTCCCCAGAAGTCCCAGCTATTATAGAAAACTCATGTTCTCTTAATAACTCCCCAGAAGTCCCAGCTATAATAGAAAACTCATGTTCTCTCAATAACTCCCCAGAAGTCCCAGCTATTATAGAAAACTCATGTTCTCTTAATAATTCCCCAGAAGTCCCAGCTATAATAGAAAACTCATGTTCTCTCAATAACTCCCCAGAAGTCCCAGCTATTATAGAAAACTCATGTTCTCTCAATAACTCCCCAGAAGTCCCAGCTATTATAGAAAACTCATGTTCTCTCAATAACTCCCAAAAAGTGTCAACAGAACTTGCAAGCAATATATTACTTGACTCTTCCTATGAAGAAAATGTAGGTCAAAAGAATAATACTGCTGCATTAGTAGATTATGTTATGTATGCTGAAACACAGACAAGGCATCTGATCCAATCAACTAAGAAAAATAGTTCTAGCAATACTTTTAATCAAACCTTTCTCCCCGCCAGATTTTACAGTAATTTACACGATGATGGAAAGTTAAACACTTGTCCTGAGAACTGTTGCACCAATTTATCATTTGAAAATATAAATAAAAGAAACCCAAAGGCCATGACTCATTTTTCAGAATGTGGGAACAATATTTCAGACCCACATCAAAATGTTTCTGAATATGTTTCTCAGTATGTTTCTGACTGTGGAATGAAGATTTCAAACCCAAAAATTTATGTTTTTGAATGTAGGAACAATCCAGAAACCTAAAACAACATATCTGAATATGTTTCTTAGTATGTTGCAACTGTACACAAATATTTCATACGACCCAAAACAAATGTTTCTGAATATATATGGAATAAAAAGTTTAGGTTGAAACAACATGTTTCTGTAGGTAGGTATCAATCAGACCCGAACAGTCTTTTTTTACAGTGGAAATTTTTTTTAAAGCAAAATAACCGAAGCATTAACCTCGAAATAGCATGCATTTTATATCAGCTGGACTGATAGCCATTTTTAATTTCTTTTCTTTATTATTAATACTCAGCACAGAACATTTTACAGTTATAATTTGGCCTTTACTTTCTCAACTCACTTGACGTTAATGATATTAATGATATCTTCAACTAACGACTTGTTTTTACGGCTGCCCGTATTTGTAATAAAACCTTTTAAAATTTAGATCTATATGACCGGGTGAAAGGATTATTATCTTATTTTGTGTACGAATCCGTGTGTGGATGTTATGGTGAATTTACGCCCTTACGATCAAGGGCTATTTAAAGACAGAGTTAGTTTCGTCATTTTCATGTAATAAAATTTGTTCAGTTGATTATCTTTTGTTTTTTTCGTTTTTGGACTAAAGTTAGGGTTTAACCTTAAGGTTAGGTTAAGAGCAGGGGTAGTAAGGCTAAGTTGAGGGAGGGGAGTGATAAGGTTGGGGTGTGAGAGGGTGGTGGTAAAGGCAGGTTGTTGGAGAGGGGTAAGGCGGGAGTGTGGGAGGGGTAAGGCGGGAGTGTGGGAGGGGTAAGGCGGGAGTGTGGGAAGGGTGTAAGGCGGGAGTGTGGGAGGGGTAAGGCGGGAGTGTGGGAGGGGTAAGGCGGGAGTGTGGGAGGGGTAAGGCGGGAGTGTGGGAGGGGTGTAAGGCGGGAGTGTGGGAGGGGTGTAAGGCGGGAGTGTGGGAGGGGTGTAAGGCTGGAGTGTGGGAGGGGTGTAAGGCTGGAGTGTGGGAGGGGTGTAAGGCTGGAGTGTGGGAGGGGTAAGGCGGGAGTGTGGGAGGGGTAAGGCGGGAGTGTGGGAGGGGTAAGGCGGGAGTGTGGGAAGGGTGTAAGGCTGGAGTGTGGGAGGGGTGTAAGGCTGGAGTGTGGGAGGGGTAAGGCGGGAGTGTGGGAGGGGTAAGGCGGGAGTGTGGGAGGGGTGTAAGGCTGGAGTGTGGGAGGGGTGTAAGGCTGGAGTGTGGGAGGGGTGTAAGGCTGGAGTGTGGGAGGGGTGTAAGGCTGGAGTGTGGGAGGGGTAAGGCGGGAGTGTGGGAGGGGTAAGGCGGGAGTGTGGGAGGGGTGTAAGGCTGGAGTGTGGGAGGGGTGTAAGGCTGGAGTGTGGGAGGGGTGTAAGGCTGGAGTGTGGGAGGGGTGTAAGGCTGGAGTGTGGGAGGGGTGTAAGGCTGGAGTGTGGGAGGGGTGTAAGGCTGGAGTGTGGGAGGGGTGTAAGGCTGGAGTGTGGGAGGGGTGTAAGGCTGGAGTGTGGGAGGGGTAAGGCGGGAGAGATAAGTTATCGATTTAATCCACTCAATTGCTGGGAATCAGAATAAATTGTATTTTCCTTTATAAAATATGTTTTCCGATGTGATCTATCCAGTGTAGGTGACAGGCTACCAAATATGTTGATGTGGAAAGACTTAAAAAAGTAAAAGTGGTATTTAATTAATCACCCAATCGTCCCTTAACCTCTATTGAGGGCATTATGGCACCACATCCGTCCTCCTCTGTCCACTGATGTTCTGAGTAGCTCTGCAATGGGCTGCCCAGTACAATATTTGATGTCCTCCAACCAATTACGTCTTTGCCTTATCCTTCTTCTCCCACCTGTATACACACCAAATTGGTGAGTAGATGAATCATTCAACACTGATACAAGAAACGCATCGTATTTATTGCAATTTGTTCTATTTCTTCTGGATATTTTGTTAAGAAATGACGTGAATAGTTCTTTGTTGTTAAAAGTTACGCTTCTCCCAACCGATGTGAGCGATTGTTTACGATTTACTTTTACTTGTTTGCGATACATCTTGCCTGAATCTTTTGTAATAAAGAGAAAAAATCATGGATTCTTATGTTGCTGTCTGATCAAAGTGTCCAGGTGGGTGCAGAGTTTCCTCCAGGCATCCCTTCGGGAGGGGGGGGGGGGTTCCGCCCCCCTGAAAAAAGTCTACCGCCTCCCCCGAACTAAATGGAATCTATATAGAAAAAAAATATTTTTAACAGTGTTCCCCCCCCCCCGGAAATTTTAAGTGCCCCCTCGGAGAAACAAGTCTGGTTTGACCGGAAAGAAATATATAACCAAGCTCTCTATATTTAAAATTACCCAATACACTCTTAAACTATAAAATTAGTAAATTGTATCGAAGAGGTTGGCTTTTATTGCTTGTTTCATAACAGCCTCCTAATACTGCAATTTCCATTCATTTTGTTTAAGCCACAACTTCAGCTAATCGAGGTACATTATCTGTCTACGGTACAACACGTCGACGAGGTTGTTCAGATTTGAACAAAAAATTGATACAATTAGTTTGCACCTGCTACGAACCTTTCAATAAGCTTTTCGTTTTCTTCTTTTTATAAGCTTTTATAAAATTTACAATGCTTTTTTTGTTAGGCTGATGCAGCAAATTGTGTAGCTTATTTTTGACCCTCTTCATTGATACATTTATCTCCGTTGACAATGCAAAAAAATATATTTTTAAAATCTATTTAAATTCTAAATTATTTAATTTAAAAATTATTAAATTCAACAATGAAAGGGAGATAACAAAATTAAGGTACGCGGACCGTTGACCACAGTTGCTTTAACTATATGTATTTTGTCCAGAAGGGGGCTTTGACCACAGGTGTTTTTGTACAAAGGGTCTTTGGCCACAGGTGGTTTGTATAAATAGGGGGTCTGTTCACAAGCGCTTTGTCCATATATGATAAGAATCAACTTATTTGCTTGCTATTACACATCTGGCATTTAGTTAAGCATATATTGTTGAATATATTGTTGCCATGCTTTTTATCCTTTATATATATAATGTTATATCATGTAGATCTACATTATATTATTGTGAAACTTTATAGGTCACATTTTTTGTGTTTAATTTATGTATAAAATAAATCTTATAAGCCAAGCACAAGCCTTTATGTGGCAACTCAAAAGGAAACTTGTTCTATTAAATTGTATTAAAAACAACCCCCAGCTGTGTTCAAAGCCCTGCTCGGATCAAGCTCCCTGCGGTCAAACCACTTATGGTCAACGTCCCTATGGTCAAAGCTTCTGTGGTCAAAGCTCCTATGGTCAAAGCTCCTATGGTCAAAGCACTATGGTCAAAGCTCCTATGGTCAAAGCTCCTATGGTCAAAGCTCCTATGGTCAAAGCTTCTATGGTCAAAGCTTCTATAGTCAAAGCTCCTATGGTCAAAGCTCCTATGGTCAAAGCACTGTGGTCAAAGCTTCTATGGTTAAAGCACTGTGGTCAAAGCTCATATGGTCAAAGCACTGTGGTCAAAGCTCCTATGGTCAAAGCTCCTATGGTCAAAGCTCCTATGGTCAAAGCTCCTATGGTCAAAGCTCATATGGTCAAAGCTTCTATGGTCAAAGCTCCTATGGTCATAGCTCATATGGTCAAAGCACTGTGGTCAAAGCTCCTATAGTGAAAGCTCCTATGGTCAAAGCACTATGGTCAAAGCTCCTATGGTCAAAGCTCCTATGGTCAAAGCACTATAGATCTAAATGAAATCTGTATGAAATAGTTCATTTCTTCTTATTCTAAAATTGGAAGATGTGGGAAGCGTTTCTTTTCGAAGATGACGTCATTATTTATAATTTTCGACATTCGATTTTTAATTCTATTTTTTATCCTACATTCAATGGCGCCATTTGTGTTGTGTGCTTTCCGTGGTTTAAACTCTTTATTAACATTGTTTCATATGATATTTTTTCATTTGTTTCATGAGACGTGATTCATTTTGCCAGTAATAGTTTTTGTGCTACTTATATGTTCTCTTGCCACAAGAACACTTCTCCAGTAGCGTAATTATTGATGTGTTTCTACATCAGCATATGCCTATTTTTATATTCCGTCTTTAAATAAAATTTAGTTTATACATTTAGTAAATTCAACATATTATTTTCAACAAAAGTCTGTACCTTTAAGTTCTCCATATATAGCTGAAGATACTGATCTCATAGCCCCGGAAAATATGTGACGGACAGAGGAGAATGAGAGAGAGAGAGAGAGATATAGAGAGAGAGAAAGAGAGAAAAAGCAGCGAGATAGCCATTCGCATGGGGTGGAAAAGAGAGAGAGAGAGAGAGAGAGAGAGAGAGAGAGAGAGAGAGAGAGAGAGAGAGAGCTGCGCACAAGGGCTTCTTTATAATTAGGGTTCTTAAATGCATTGAAAATAGGCAAATAAAAAACAAACTTTCTTCAAACAGAAGCATTGTCCGCTATTCTAAGATGAGTTGATAGGAAACTAAAAAGTTAACACCCTTCTTATTTATGTATGTGGTTCCTTTAACATTTCTTGAGACGGGACTCAAGTTATAGTGTTACAGACAGGCACACACAGACACACACACAGACAGACAGACAGACAGACAGACAGACAGACACACACCCACACACACAGACGTACAGAGAAAAATCGCAAAATTAAAAAGAAGCTTTTCAGAGAAAGTAAAAATACATTTTAATTTCGATATCATATTATTCGGCATTATTAAAATTTTGCCACATTTCATTACACCCCCCCCCCCCCGCTGCATTGTCAAAAGAGTTGAACCTTATTTACCAAAATATATTTACGAAACGTTGGCACACTGTTGTATATTTTTAAAAAAACCCCACTATTTCACATGTAATGTAGAAATGCTTTTCCAGCATCCCAACAAAAATAGTAGGAAAACATTTCTGGCACGTCCACTTGCAGAGATATCGCTCCAATCTAATCGTGACTTTCTTCAAACAAATGGGCATAATAGAAGTTTGATTTAAACTTAAACATATATCTCTAATATCAAAGCTATAACATAACTAAATTCGGCGATGTTTAGACATTTTTCAATTTGCCTTACGTTGACGTCATCGTTCTTCACTTTGCTCTGTGCTGACGTCAACATCCTTCAATGTGCTCTGTGTTGACGTCAACATCCTTCACTGTGCTCTGTTTTGACGTCAACATCCTTCACTGTACTCTGTGTTGACGTCAACATTCTTCACTGTGCTCTGTGTTGACGTCAACATTCTTCACTGTGCTCTGTGTTGACGTCAACATCCTTCACTGTACTCTGTGTTGACGTCAACATTCTTCACTGTACTCTGTGTTGACGTCAACATTCTTCACTGTGCTCTGTGTTGACGTCAACATTCTTCACTGTGCTCTGTGTTGACGTCAACATCCTTCACTGTACTCTGTGTTGACGTCAACATTCTTCACTGTGCTCTGTGTTGACGTCAACATCCTTCACTGTGGCTTGTGTTGACGTCAACATCCTTCACTGTGCTCTGTGTTGACGTCAACATCCTTCACTGTACTCTGTGTTGACGTCGACATTCTTCAGTCTCCTTTATGCTACGTCTAATGGACCAGACCGAATGTTTACGCGATCCATGTGTCCAAAAGTTGCCTGTTGCCAAAACGAGAGAATAATGATTTAATATTTTTAAGTCATTTTACGATAATTAATTGTTATAAACATAAAACGTTATCTTTTATAATAAGCTTTTAAATGCAATAAAATAAAAAAAACAATACGTTATCTTAAGACAAAATAGTAAAAGAAAAGAGTTTTTTTTAGTAAAATGTTTCAAATATTTTATTAGCGCCAAATCTCTTACTTTTACAACTAGGCCCAGTATTTTATCCTCGGGCCGGCAACGCACACGGTTGCTAGCCCGAAGTCCCGAGTTCGAACCACTACACAGATGAGACTCGCTAGCTGGGGACATCAGACCAGAGCAAACTCCAAAATAAAACAGGAGTCTGCGATAACACGGTTACCAAACTGGTTTCCTTTCAGAACTTCTAAGACACAATAAATGCCAAGTAGTAGAGGAAAATAATTTCCCATTGGAAGATGAGCTGAGTGAAGATGTGTTGCCAAAAATGTCTTTGTAAGATCTGACTCAACTTACTGCCAAGACCCTTGGTCTTGTTTCCAACAACAACAGAAACGATTCCCCTTACGATTCTAGAATGGCTACTATAATTTCATGTTATATTTAGCTTACTCATATTGTCATCTTTAAATTCATGTGACTGACGAATAGAATATGTAATTAGCTTAGTTAATGTATCTGGGAATTAGGTAAACATTGAGCTACTAGATTTACCACAAACGACAGACAGAGAGGAAGAGAGACAGATGGAAAGACGGAAATACAGACGGACGGACGGACGGGCAGACAGACAGACAAATAAACGAAAATTTAATATTATTCATACAATATGGCCTACCTTGTTTATCATATTTCCTTAGGTATGCAGTAGTTATTGGCACAATGAAGACAATGAAAACAATAGAAACTACTAAAAAGGCTACAAGCATTTGTGTTGCATCGCTGTCCAGCTCATATTTTCTACTGCAGGCAGGGAATTCTAGCAGAGGAAACATTATTTTACTTTTATTTAGAGTTCGCATTAAATGAGACAATTTAAATAACACAATATTCACATGAATAGGCATTAAAAGCAGGATCTATATTGAAAAGAATAGTCAAAACCCCATCACTAGAGTGGCCCTGCAGTCACAAATTTAGTTCTAGAGTGGTAGCCCTACAGTTATATATTTAGTTCTAGAGTGGTAGCCCTACAGTTATATATTTAGTTCTAGAGTGGTAGCCCTACAGTTATATATTTAGTTCTAGAGTGGTAGCCCTACAGTTATATATTTAGTTCTAGAGTGGTGGCCCTACAGTCACATATTTAGTTCTAGAGTGGTCCTACAGTCACATATTTAGTTCTAGAGTGGTGGTCCTACAGTCACATATTTAGTTCTAGAGTGGTCCTACAGTCACATATTTAGTTCTAGAGTGGTGGTCCTACAGTCACATATTTAGTTCTAGAGTGGTGGTCCTACAGTCACATATTTAGTTCTAGAGTGGTCCTACAGTCACATATTTAGTTCTAGAGTGGTGGTCCTACAGTCACATATTTAGTTCTAGAGTGGTCCTACAGTCACATATTTAGTTCTAGAGTGGTGGTCCTACAGTCACATATTTAGTTCTAGAGTGGTCCTACAGTCACATATTTAGTTCTAGAGTGGTAGCCCTACAGTTATATATTTAGTTCTAGAGTGGTGGCCCTACAGTCACATATTTAGTTCTAGAGTGGTCCTACAGTCACATATTTAGTTCTAGAGTGGTGGTCCTACAGTCACATATTTAGTTCTAGAGTGGTCCTACAGTCACATATTTAGTTCTAGAGTGGTGGTCCTACAGTCACATATTTAGTTCTAGAGTGGTGGCCCTACAGTCACATATTTAGTTCTAGAGTGGTCCTACAGTCACATATTTAGTTCTAGAGTGGTGGTCCTACAGTCACATATTTAGTTCTAGAGTGGTCCTACAGTCACATATTTAGTTCTAGAGTGGCCCTACAGTCACATATTTAGTTCTAGAGTGGTCCTACAGTCACATATTTAGTTCTAGAGTGGTGGCCCTACTGTCACATACTTACTTCTAGAGTGGTGGCCCTACAGTCACATACTTAGTTCTAGAGTGGTGGTCCTACAGTCACATATTTAGTTCTAGAGAGGTTGGTCCTACAGTCACATATTTAGTTCTAGAGGGGTTGGTCCTACAGTCACATATTTAGTTCTAGAGTGGTGGTCCTACAGTCACATATTTAGTTCTAGAGGGGTTGGTCCTACAGTCACATATTTAGTTCTAGAGTGGTGGTCCTACAGTCACATATTTAGTTCTAGAGTGGTGGTCCTACAGTCAAATATTTAGTTATAGAGTGGTGGTCCTACAGTCACATATTTAGTTCTAGAGTGGTCCTACAGTCACATATTTAGTTCTAGAATGGTGGTCCTACAGTCACATATTTAGTTCTAGAGTGGTCCTACAGTCACATATTTAGTTCTAGAGTGGTGGTCCTACAGTCACATATTTAGTTCAAGAGTGGTGGTCCTACAGTCACATATTTAGTTCTAGAGTGGTGGTCCTAAGTCACATATTTAGTTCTAGAGTGGTCCTACAGTCACATATTTAGTTCTAGAGTGGTGGTCCTACAGTCACATATTTAGTTCTAGAGTGGTGCTACAGTCACATATTTAGTTCTAGAGTGGTGGCCCTACAGTCACATATTTAGTTCTAGAGTGGTCCTACAGTCACATATTTAGTTCTAGAGTGGTGGTCCTACAGTCACATATTTAGTTCTAAGAGTGGTGGTCCTACAGTCACATATTTAGTTCTAGAGTGGTCCTACAGTCACATATTTAGTTCTAGAGTGGTGGTCCTACAGTCACATATTTAGTTCTAGAGTGGTCCTACAGTCACATATTTAGTTCTAGAGTGGTGGTCCTACAGTCACAAATTTAGTTCTAGAGTGGTCCTACAGTCACATATTTAGTTCTAGAGTGGTCCTACAGTCACATATTTAGTTCTAGAGTGGCCCTACAGTCACATATTTAGTTCTAGAGTGGTCCTACAGTCACATATTTAGTTCTAGAGTGGCCCTACAGTCACATATTTAGTTCTAGAGTGGTGGCCCTACAGTCACATATTTAGTTCTAGAGTGGTCCTACAGTCACATATTTAGTTCTAGAGTGGTGGTCCTACAGTCACATATTTAGTTCTAGAGTGGTGGTCCTACAGTCACAAATTTAGTTCTAGAGTCGCAAAAGTCTCATTTAACTTTGTCTCGTATTGAGATGATTCAAATTAAAATGCCTTATAAAAGCCTCACTTAACGTGCAGTTAGGGGGCATGTACCCACGAGTACATCCCCCTATACAGGCACCGTTGGTAAAGTTGCAAGAGGATTGGTTGACACAGTGTTCGCTACATCTCCGACGGCAGCCATCTTGTTCACTCCCGTATTCACAGCCTGCAAGTCAGATGAGATCAGCAGTGATTAACTATCATAAACCGACAAGAACGAATGAAGTCTCAAAGCAGTGGTGTAGCGAGATCGAGTGTAACCCGGTGCGGCACTTAATGGTGTCTTCCCCGCCGTAAAAAAGTATATATATATATATATATATATATATATATATATATATATATATATATATATATATATATATATATGTAAATACGCATGTGTTTATGTAGGCTCTACTCACATCAATTGTTTGATGTATTTAATTTTTTTTACCTTCCCCATACATGGATTAACACATAAGTTATTACGATTCTCAACCAAACCGTTTACCTCAGTCATATCTTGCAACGTTGAGTTAATGTAACCCACCACTCACTCTCCTCCCCGCCATGGCGATTGCTTTAAACTGTGCTCAGATATAATACTACCAATTTTTATCTATCGTCGGTTATAAATACAGCTTGATGTAGCATGTTTTCTCTATTATTAGCAGGCTTACGTCATGGTGTCACCCCCCCCCCCCCCACCCCCACCCCCACTCCACCCTTGTCGGGATTTGTCAAATGTGCAATTAAAAGACTATTTAACACTATAATTAATCACTTAATTAATCGGAATTATCTTTTTTCTGTATATATTTTGCTATTTTTTTCCTTGGTGTCCCCCCCCCCTAAACGGTGTCACCCGGTGCGGTCCGCACCCCCCCCCCCTCGCTACGCCCCTGTCTCAAAGCACCATTACATATTTTTAAATCCGTGTGTTATTTAAAACAATGTGGTTATACACATATTACTTTTCATGTAGATACTAAACAAGTTTCTGTCCTACAACTGCTGGCAAGTTGAATGGAGCAACCTGTCAACTCTGTGCCGATCAATGCTAAAAGAATCACAAGAAGCTGTAGCACTGCTAGACCACACTTCTTGTCTCTCTCACACAAGCCGAAATAAATACAACTTTTAGACGTAATTTTCCAACAGAAAAAAACTTGCAATGTATATGATCTGATAATAAGACTTATTCAATGCTACTTACTCAAAGAAACGTGTTGGATACAAAGCCATAAAAGAAAACACTGTAATATATTCCTCATTGAATTGCTTGACAACCTAAACAACATAGAGGTTAAGCAAACTTTGTTGAAAGGAATTTCTTCAGTACGACTGATGTTTTACACAATTGGAATGTGCTCATATGGATCAGGCCGGCTGTTGAGCACTCCACTGTTCTAATATTCTGTGAATAAGCAAACAAGGATGTACACGTCCTACATTCATCTAGGTCGTGTAGTCGTGTTGATCTAATAGCGATTGTTATTTATAGTCGAAACACTTTCCTAGTACTATAAACTTTTATCCCTAGACCCCAGCACGTTAAGGATGATATATGGATTATAGTATTAGCACGTTTAATAGCACATACTTTTTTATTTTTTCGATGAACATAATTTTTTACACATTCGATTTTATTTTCCAATGACCTTAACACAAGCAAAATTAATGTTTTTTAATTATGTCACAAAAAATGGGCGGATAATCTAAGCTGTTTCAAAACAGATTAGCTGTCTCATGTTCACAAATGTTTTGCTGACATTCGTAGAAGATCACACGAATAAATGCTCTTAGTAGTTAATCATTTGCCATCTATTTCTGGTTTCTGGATATTTATTACATAAAAATGATGTGTGTGTGTGTGTGTGTGTGTGCGTGTGAGTGTGTTTGAGAGAGAGAGGGGGAGAGAGAGAGAGAGAGAGAATTGAATTTGTTTTCTTCTAGAGGCTAAAGTAAAAAAAAAAACAACCTCCTAAAGGTCAGACACAAAAGGTTGAGAACCACTAAGTTCAACTGTGTACGTATACAAGTGTTAGTGGTCAGACACAAAAGGTTGAGAACCACTGAGTTCAACTGTGTACGGATACAAGTGTTAGTGGTCAGACACAAAAGGTTGAGAACCACTGAGTTCAACTGTGTACGTATACAAGGGTTAGTGGTCAGACACAAAAGGTTGAGAACCACTGAGTTCAACTGTGTACGGATACAAGTGTTAGTGGTCAGACACAAAAGGTTGAGAACCACTGAGTTCAACTGTGTACGTATACAAGTGTTAGTGGTCAGACACAAAAGGTTGAGAACCACTGAGTTCAACTGTGTACGGATACAAGTGTTAGTGGTCAGACACAAAAGGTTGAGAACCACTGAGTTCAACTGTGTACGTATACAAGGGTTAGTGGTCAGACACAAAAGGTTGAGAACCACTGAGTTCAACTGTGTACGGATACAAGTGTTAGTGGTCAGACACAAAAGGTTGAGAACCACTGAGTTCAACTGTGTACGTATACAAGGGTTAGTGGTCAGACACAAAAGGTTGAGAACCACTGAGTTCAACTGTGTACGTATACAAGGGTTAGTGGTCAGACACAAAAGGTTGAGAACCACTGAGTTCAACTGTGTACGGATACAAGTGTTAGTGGTCAGACACAAAAGGTTGAGAACCACTGAGTTCAACTGTGTACGTATACAAGGGTTAGTGGTCAGACACAAAAGGTTGAGAACCACTGAGTTCAACTGTGTACGTATACAAGGGTTAGTGGTCAGACACAAAAGGTTGAGAACCACTGAGTTCAACTGTGTGCGGATACAAGTGTTAGTGGTCAGACACAAAAGGTTGAGAACCACTGAGTTCAACTGTGTACGTATACAAGGGTTAGTGGTCAGACACAAAAGGTTGAGAACCACTGAGTTCAACTGTGTACGTATACAAGGGTTAGTGGTCAGACACAAAAGGTTGAGAACCACTGAGTTCAACTGTGTACGGATACAAGTGTTAGTGGTCAGACACAAAAGGTTGAGAACCACTGAGTTCAACTGTGTACGGATACAAGTGTTAGTGGTCAGACACAAAAGGCTGAGAACCACTGAGTTCAACTGTGTACGGATACAAGTGTTAGTGGTCAGACACAAAAGGTTGAGAACCACTGAGTTCAACTGTGTACGGATACAAGTGTTAGTGGTCAGACACAAAAGGTTGAGAACCACTGAGTTCAACTGTGTACGGACACAACGTGTAACATAAGGTGACAATAGTGTCGACCACTTGACAGCCTAAACAAAAAACTTCCTGATCGAGATATAATCTGCTTGTTAAAGTTGTGATTGTTATAGAACTTAAAACATGTATTTATATAGAACATTTCTGTTCGCAAATTATACAACATTTAAACAAGATTTATAACATAAAATAGAAAAGACCGAATTAAAATATATATTTGAATTTCACTTCGATTGAAACGAATTGGAACGGTTGGTCGTGTTTTAATGTGCTCATGTACCTTAGGCATTTAAAAACATTACCTTCCATTATGTTTTAAAACCGTTTAATTAATTTTAATGACCAATTAATTATGTAATTAATTTAGAAAAATAGATAAACTTGTATTGCCATCGTAGTGGATTGCTTAAGAAAAGTTTGAATGAAAACGCTGCATTAGAAGTGGGTCAAAATGTACAAGATTTATCACAAACCCGCAATTGCGTGATAGTTGGCTACGTCTTTGTCGAAAGTCCTGATCATGCGATTGTTTTGGTCCGAAGACAATACTTCGAGAGTCATTTGTTGGAGCCACTATGTCGGGAGCCAATATGTCGGGAGGCCATTTGCTGGGAGCCTAAATGTCAGGATCCCATTTTTCCCGAGACTGTATGTAGGGGCCCTTTTGACGGGGTATTTTGACGGGTTCGTTTTATCAAGGACCGTTTTGACGGTCTATCCTAAATATTTCATTAGGTAGATTTTTCGGTAACTGTTTCCGGTTTCTTAAAAACCTACAACAATTCTATTATCTGATCTGACAGAAAGCGCTACCCAGACCTTCTCTTATATACGATAGTGCGAGAAAGTTTAGGCGAGCTCAGGTTTGTGATTATTGGCCACGTAGTAGAGAAAGTTTAGGCGAGCTCAGAATGGTTTATGATTATTGATCACGTGGTAGAGAAAGTTTAGGCGAGCTCAGGTTTGTGATTAATTGATCACGTGGTAGAGAAAGTTTAGTCAGAAACCTAGACTATCCAAGGTATCGAGGGTTCATAATATTCCATCGTAAGTTGATTGTTTTGTTTTGTCTGGTTTTGTTTTGTCTAGTTTTTAGCGCAATTTCCATTCTGGAGAATTGCGTTTATTAACTCGTCTTTTCTGGGAATGAATGGATGTGTGTTCGCAGCTTTAAGTCGTATCTCCTCCTCAACGAAGCAATATCGAGGACTAGTTTCAAAGCAAATTTGTTAAGCAAGTTCCGAGGATGATAGTGGGCCAAAAAAATTCCCGGAATTCCATCCTGGATTTCACGGAAAAGCCAAAAAACCTCGAAAAAATGCAGTTTTTGACCCATATCTCGGCAACCAGACAACTTAGCGACTTGAAACATTTACCAATCGATTCCTGTCATAATTTAAAACAATATTGCCGAAGAAAGTTTTCAGAAATATCCTTTCGTTCGGTCACAAATTTTAAAATTACATAAACACCTACAAACTGATCGTTCTCTTAGCTTGAACGCACCCCAGCATTATACGTCAGAGCTATTTTTAGATAACATAAGTAAATTGCGCTAAAATTGTCACTAGACTTTTTAATTAACTTGTTTATTTATATATTTTCATTAAATTTCGGTTCCAATTTTGGTTGAATAAATTTTTATAAATGGTTAAGTTTTTTAAGCGTAAGACTAAGGTTAGGGTTTAACTACCGTGGGTTTTACCATGGTTGCACTGACCGGACAGTTTAATTAGAAAAGCCTAGGGACGTATATAGAAGTTATCCCCCCCCCCCCAGCAGGGCTTACACTAATATCAGCGTCTCCAGATCTATATAACGTGGAGGATGCGGATGCCTCAGTAAATCCTCTCGGCGGCTGTAGAGTTCATCAGTGAGAGCACATAGCTAGTTTAATGTTGTTTTAATCTCTTCTTCCATTTTTTTCATTAGTATACATACTTAGTGGAAGTAGAGGGACCCTTACCGAGTTATTTGAATAAGATAGACAAAACCGTTCTCGTAGATCCCCAATAAGCATACACCGCTAGTATAATGGCTATAAATTTAAAGTTAAAAGCAAAGCAGAAATGTATATGTTTGCATAACTTTTATTTACAAAAAAATCCATCTGTCGTCAGCAAGTGTACTAATTCTGGTTATTAAACAGAATGCAGTGATACAGGCATAGGACTCTAATAGTTGAATGTTGACGTGGTAGCCTAATAGTTGTATGTTGGTGTGGTAGCCAAATAGTTGAATGTTGATGTGGTAGCCAAATATTTGAATGTTGATGTGGTAGCCAAATAGTTGAATGTTGATGTGGTAGCCAAATAGTTGAATGTTGATGTGGTAGCCAAATAGTTGAATGTTGATGTGGTAGCCAGATAGTTGAATGTTGATGTGGTAGTCAAATAGTTGAATGTTGATGTGGTAGCCAAATAGTTGAATGTTGATGTGTAGCCATTACTGATAAACCCTGTTAGTCGTCGTATTTTGTTCTATTTCGTTACATTTCTTTATATTTTAAAATGACATCAACACTGGCAATCAACAATTACATTTTACAAGTTCGTGTTTGACACAATCAAAAATGTTAAAGATAAATCTCGGATTTAAAAAAAAAGTGTAGATAAAATAGTTCAGTCTTGACCTACCGAGTTGTAGCTGCAATTTTCAAGGCTAAATAAATTGTGTTTGTATACTATAGGCTAAGTATAAAGGTCTGTGTGTGGGGTTCACCTGTTTAGTTGACGTCTGGATGTTGCTGGTTCCTGTTGTGAAGTTTGTGTTTACTTGCACGATGTTGTTCAGCCTTCTCTTCCTGTTTGTACTGGCGGATGCAGCAGAAATACGCAGAGATAACGACATAGTTAAACGTAAGATTCAAGCCTATATGTAAATCAAAGACAGTCATAAAGGCATGTTAAACCAAAGACAATAATACAGACATTTTTAAATGTAAAAATGAAGAAACTGTACAAATTGTAAACAATAATCAAGAAACAATAAAATCATGTTTACGGAAAGTTCGAATGTTTGTAATTTTTAGTCCTCTAAAATATTTTTCGCGTGTATTTTTCATTTTAAAATATTAATTTCCATTTATAACAAATATAAAATTTCTGATGTCGTCAGGTGCAAATGTATGCTATGGTGCATTGGGATGTTTTTCTACCGATGGAGCGTTTGGTGTGAGTGCTCAAAGACCATTGACAGTAGTACCAGAATCACCAGACAAAATAAAGTAAGTATTCTACTCTACTGCCTACACAGTAAAATTAATGTATCCCTTTCAGACCTTATGTTCACAGAGAGGGTCATATGGCGGGTAGAGTAGATCCTTGCCTAGTTGCACAGCTAAGATTGGTGAAATAACTCAGTGTCACATGACCACGTCCTACAACTGGTCTATACTGAACAATTACTGATATACAAAATAATTGTATATATATATATATATATATATATATATATATATATATATATATATATATATATATATATATATATATATATATATACGTATGTATAGCTCTGTCCGCTGGTTTCAATGGTCAGTTTTTCCCCTATTAGAACCATGTTCAAGCTGTACACCAGGGAACACAAGACAACACCACAGGACCTAGATGCCAGACGACTGGACTCACTGGCCACCGTCTGGACCAACTTTAAATCTGTACCGGTCAAGTTCATCGTTCATGGCTTCATTGACGACACGGACGTTTCCCCCTGGCTTAGGGTCAGTCACCTTTGAACCGTTACTTCGTCTTTCATTTGTTTTCAAACATATAATCTAGTCCTTCAATGGTTCAGTTTAAAATAATATCTCGGTTCAAAAAAGTTCAAATGATACTATGAACAACGACCGTAGAGTGAGCTTTGTGTTTACATACTTGTTTTGTCATGTTCTACAGTATAGTACATTTATTTTTTATCCCTAAAAAATAGTTTTCACAATACTAATAATCTTTTATCCCTAGGATATGAAAGATGAGTTTCTTAAAGCTGGAGACTTTAATGTGGTGATTGTTGATTGGTCGGGAGGCAATTTGTTGCCCTACACCCAGGCGACAGCCAATACACGAGTTGTAGGGGCGCAAATCGCTGCGGTCATCAAAAAGTTGATTGTACGTTTTATTTCTAACACAGTTCAGTGTGTGTACAAGTAAGCTTGCAAACCTTTACTTTCCTGTATACGAAGTATAGAGGAAGTATTGTAATCATACAAAAAATCGAAATCGAGATTTTCACAAATCTCAACGTCCCTGAGTCGGAAAAATACAGTTTTGCAATTTTGTTCGTATTTTGTTTTAACCCTAATCATTGTTGTCGTCTGAACAAATGTTTTGTCCGTATGTCTGTGTGTATGTGTGTTTGTGTGTGTATGTCTGTGAACTTGAGGAACGTTACTGCTAGACTGATGAAATTTTATATATAAGTGTTATACCAAATTTGTAGTTCTGTATCAACTTTTCAGCTCACTCGATACTCTGTACTTAACAACCTCACTCGATACTCTGTACTTAACACCCTCACTCGATACTCTGTACTTAACGACCTCACTCGATACTCTGTACTTAACCTCACACGATACTCTGTACTTACGACCTCACTCGATACTCTGTACTTAACCTCACTCGATACTCTGTACTTAACGACCTCACACGATACTCTGTACCTAACGACCTCACTCGATACTCTGTACTTAACGACCTCACTCGATACTCTGTACTTAACAACCTCACTCGATACTCTGTACTTAACAACCTCACTCGATACTCTGTACTTAACCTCACTCGATACTCTGTACCTAACGACCTCACTCGATACTCTGTACTTAACGACCTCACTCGATACTCTGTACTTAACAACCTCACTCGATACTCTGTACTTAACCTCACACGATACTCTGTACTTACGACCTCACTCGATACTCTGTACTTAACCTCACTCGATACTCTGTACTTAACAACCTCACTCGATACTCTGTACTTAACAACCTCACTCGATACTCTGTACTTAACCTCACTCGATACTCTGTACCTAACAACCTCACTCGATACTCTGTACTTAACGACCTCACTCGATACTCTGTACTTAACAACCTCACTCGATACTCTGTACTTAATGACCTCACTCGATACTCTGTACTTAACAACCTCACTCGATACTCTGTACTTAACCTCACTCGATACTCTGTACCTAACGACCTCACTCGATACTCTGTACTTAACAACCTCACTCGATACTCTGTACTTAACGACCTCACTCGATACTCTGTACTTAACAACCTCACTCGATACTCTGTACTTACGACCTCACTCGATACTCTGTACTTAACGACCTCACTCGATACTCTGTACTTAACAACCTCACTCGATACTCTGTACTTAACAACCTCACTCGATACTCTGTACTTAACAACCTCACTCGATACTCTGTACTTAACGACCTCACTCGATACTCTGTACTTAACAACCTCACTCGATACTCTGTACTTAACGACCTCACTCGATACTCTGTACTTAACGATCTCATTCGATACTCTGTACTTAACAACCTCACTCGATACTCTGTACTTATGACCTCCCAGGAGGTGAAAGGTCGACATGCTGCAGATTTCCACATCATTGGCCACAGTCTGGGCTCCCATATCGCTGGGTACGCCGGTGAACGGGTTCCAGGGCTAGGTAGAATCTCAGGTAGGTCATGGTTTGTGTATTGGTCTGTGTTACGGTCAGTGTCATGGTTTTTGTATTGGTCAGTGTTACGGTCAGTGTCATGGTTTGTGTATTGGTCAGTGTTACGGTGAGTGTCATGGTTTGTGTATTAGTCAGTGTTACGGTCAGTGTCATGGTTTGTGTATTAGTCAGTGTTACGGTCAGTGTCATGGTTTGTGTATTAGTCAGTGTTACGGTCAGTGTTATGGTTTGTGTCTAACCGTGTCTACAATTGCTATAAACACCTGTGCTAACCGTGTCTAAAAATGCTATAGACACATGTTTTCACCTTGACCTTGACAGGTTTAGATCCAGCTGGTCCATATTTTGAGAACACCGACAAAACTGTACGCCTTGACCCATCGGATGCTGCATTTGTTGACGTCATTCACTCTGATGCTACTTCACTTATCCAGTTAGGTAAATCCTTATGTGTCCATGTGGTTTGGGTAAATCCTTATGTGTCGATGTGGATTTAGGTAATTCCTTATGCGTCGATGTGGATTTGGGTAAATCCTTATGTGTCTTTGTGGATTTAGGTAAATCCTAATGTGTCGATGTGGATTTAGGTAAATCCTTATGTGTCGATGTGGATTTAGGTAAATCCTTATGTGTCGAGGTGGATTTAGATAGATCCTTATAATTGACTAATGTGGTGGTAAATTAGTTGCTATCAATATTTTGTTGTATGTTGCCTGCTATCAATATTTTGTTGTATGTTGTCTGCTATCAATATTTTGTTGTATGTTGCCTGCCATCAATATTTTGTTGTATGTTGCCTGCCATCAATATTTTGTTGTATGTTGCCTGCCATCAATATTTTGTTGTATGTTGCCTGCCATCAATATTTTGTTTATGTTGCCTGCCATCAATATTTTGTTGTATGTTGCCTGCCATCAATATTTTGTTGTATGTTGCCTGCCATCAATATTTTGTTGTATGTTGCCTGCTATCAATATTTTGTTGTATGTTGCCTGCCATCAATATTTTGTTGTATGTTGCCTGCTATCAATATTGTGTTGTATGTTGCCTGCCATCAATATTTTGTTGTATGTTGCCTGCCATCAATATTTTGTTGTATGTTGCCTGCCATCAATATTTTGTTGTATGTTGCCTGCTATCAATATTTTGTTGTATGTTGCCTGCCATCAATATTTTGTTGTATGTTGCCTGCTATCAATATTTTGTTGTATGTTGCCTGCCATCAATATTTTGTTGTATGTTGCCTGCTATCAATATTTTGTTGTATGTTGCCTGCCATCAATATTTTGTTGTATGTTGCCTGCTATCAATATTGTGTTGTATGTTGCCTGCTATGAATATTTTGTTGAAGTTTCCTAATGTCATTAGGTTTGGGTATCAAACAAACTGTCGGCCATCTTGATTTCTACCCCAATCTTGGCCACGACCAGCCGGGCTGTACAAGAAATCCATTTACACAGATAGCCGACTGGGGCGTCATTCAAGGTGAGGGGGCTCAAGGTTTAGGGGCGTCATAAGGCACAGGGCGTCATAACGCTATTATGCCCGTCGTTCAATGTCTGTGGCTTTATATAAGGTCTGGGGTATGATACAACGTCAGAGGCATTAAATATCATCTGGGGCATGATACAAAGTGTGGGGCATTAAATATCATCTGGGGCATGATACAACGTCAGAGGCATTAAATATCATTTGGGGCATGATACAAAGTGTAGGGCATTAAATATTATCTGGGGCATGATACAAAGTGTGGGGCATTAAATATCATCTGGGGCATGATACAAAGTCTGGGGCATTAAATATCATCTAGGGCATGATACAACGTCAGAGGCATTAAATATCATCTGGGGCATGATACAAAGTGTGGGGCATTAAATATTATCTGGGGCATGATACAAACTGTGGGGCATTAAATATCATCTGGGGCATGATACAAAGTGTGGGGCATTAAATATCATCTGGGGCATGATACAAAGTGTGGGGCATTAAATATCATCTGGGGCATGATACAAAGTGTGGGGCATTAAATATCATCTGGGGCATGATACAAAGGTGGTCTTGGTATATTGCAATGAAATGACATGTCGTTGTTTAAACTGGTTGACCCTCCCCGCCCCGCTGAATGTCTGTATCTTCCCCGCCCCACTGAATGTCTGTATCTTCCCCGCCCCACTGAATGTCTGTATCTTCCCCGCCCCACTGAATGTCTGTATCTTCTCCTCTCCGCCCCGCTGAATGTCTGTATCTTCCCCGCCCCACTGAATGTCTGTATCTTCCCCGCCCCACTGAATGTCTGTATCTTCCCCGCCCCACTGAATGTCTGTATCTTCCCCGCCCCACTGAATGTCTGTATCTTCCCCGCCCCACTGAATGTCTGTATCTTCCCCGCCCCGCTGAATGTCTGTATCTTCCCCGCCCCGCTGAATGTCTGTATCTTCCCCGCCCCACTGAATGTCTGTATCTTCCCCGCCCCACTGAATGTCTGTATCTTCCCCGCCCCACTGAATGTCTGTATCTTCCCCGCCCCACTGAATGTCTGTATCTTCTCCTCCCCGCCCCATTGAATGTCTGTATCTTCCCCGCCCCACTGAATGTCTGTATCTTCCCCGCCCCGCTGAATGTCTGTATCTTCCCCGCCCCGCTGAATGTCTGTATCTTCCCCGCCCCACTGAAAGTCTGTATCTTCCCCGCCCCACTGAATGTCTGTATCTTCCCCGCCCCACTGAATGTCTGTATCTTCCCCGCCCCACTGAATGTCTGTATCTTCTCCTCCCCGCCCCATTGAATGTCTGTATCTTCCCCGCCCCACTGAATGTCTGTATCTTCCCCGCCCCACTGAATGTCTGTATCTTCCCCGCCCCACTGAATGTCTGTATCTTCCCAGCCCCACTGAATGTCTGTATCCTCCCCGCCCACTGAATGTCTGTATCTTCTCCTCCCCGCCCCACTGAATGTCTGTATCTTCTCCTCCCCGCCCCACTGAATGTCTGTATCTTCTCCTCCCCGCCCCACTGAATGTCTGTATCTTCCCCGCCCCACTGAATGTCTGTATCTTCCCCGCCCACTGAATGTCTGTATCTTCCCCGCCCCACTGAATGTCTGTATCTTCTCCTACCCGCCCCACTGAATGTCTGTATCTTCCCCGCCCCACTGAATGTCTGTATCTTCCCCGCCCCACTGAATGTCTGTATCTCCCCGCCCCACTGAATGTCTGTATCTTCCCCGCCCACTGAATGTCTGTATCTTCCCCGCCCCACTGAATGTCTGTATCTTCCCCACCCCACTGAATGTCTGTATCTTCCCCGCCCCACTGAATGTCTGTATCTTCCCAGCCCCAGTGAATGTCTGTATCTTCCCCGCCCCACTGAATGTCTGTATCCTCCCCGCCCCACTGAATGTCTGTATCTTCCCCTCCCCGCCCCACTAAATGTCTGTATCTTCCCCGCCCCGCTGAATGTCTGTATCGTCCCCACCCCACTGAATGTCTGTATCCTCCCCGCTCCACTGAATGTCTGTATCTTCCCCGCCCCACTGAATGTCTGTATCTTCCCCGCCCCACTGAATGTCTGTATCTTCCCCGCCCACTGAATGTCTGTATCTTCCCCGCCCCACTGAATGTCTGTATCTTCCCCGCCCCACTGAATGTCTGTATCTTCCCCGCCCCACTGAATGTCTGTATCCTCTCCGCCCCACTGAATGTCTGTATCTTCCCCTCCCCGCCCCACTAAATGTCTGTATCTTCCCCGCCCCACTGAATGTCTGTATCTTCTCCTCCCCACTGAATGTCTGTATCTTCCCCGCCCCACTGAATGTCTGTATCTTCCCCGCCCACTGAATGTCTGTATCTTCCCCGCCCACTGAATGTCTGTATCTTCCCCGCCCCACTGAATGTCTGTATCTTCCCCGCCCCACTGAATGTCTGTATCTTCCCCGCCCACTGAATGTCTGTATCTTCCCCGCCCACTGAATGTCTGTATCTTCCCCGCCCCACTGAATGTCTGTATCTTCCCCGCCCCACTGAATGTCTTTTTCTTCCCCACCCCACTGAATGTCTGTATCTTCCCCGCCCCACTGAATGTCTGTATCTTCCTCGCCCCACTGAATGTCTGTATCTTCTCCTCCCCGCCCCACTGAATGTCTGTATCTCCCCGCCCCACTGAATGTCTGTATCTTCCCCGCCCCACTGAATGTCTGTATCTTCCCCGCCCCACTGAATGTCTGTATCTCCCCGCCCCGCTGAATGTCTGTATCTTCCCCGCCCCACTGAATGTCTGTATCTTCCCCACCCCACTGAATGTCTGTATCTTCCCCGCCCCACTGAATGTCTGTATCTTCCCCGCCCCGTTGAATGTCTGTATCTTCCCCGCCCCACTGAATGTCTGTATCTTCCCCGCCCCACTGAATGTCTGTATCTTCCCCGCCCCACTGAATGTCTGTATCTTCCCAGCCCCACTGAATGTCTGTATCCTCCCCGCCCACTGAATGTCTGTATCTTCTCCTCCCCGCCCCACTGAATGTCTGTATCTTCTCCTCCCCGCCCCACTGAATGTCTGTATCTTCTCCTCCCCGCCCCACTGAATGTCTGTATCTTCCCCGCCCCACTGAATGTCTGTATCTTCCCCGCCCACTGAATGTCTGTATCTTCCCCGCCCCACTGAATGTCTGTATCTTCTCCTACCCGCCCCACTGAATGTCTGTATCTTCCCCGCCCCACTGAATGTCTGTATCTTCCCCGCCCCACTGAATGTCTGTATCTCCCCGCCCCACTGAATGTCTGTATCTTCCCCGCCCACTGAATGTCTGTATCTTCCCCGCCCCACTGAATGTCTGTATCTTCCCCACCCCACTGAATGTCTGTATCTTCCCCGCCCCACTGAATGTCTGTATCTTCCCAGCCCCAGTGAATGTCTGTATCTTCCCCGCCCCACTGAATGTCTGTATCCTCCCCGCCCCACTGAATGTCTGTATCTTCCCCTCCCCGCCCCACTAAATGTCTGTATCTTCCCCGCCCCGCTGAATGTCTGTATCGTCCCCACCCCACTGAATGTCTGTATCCTCCCCGCTCCACTGAATGTCTGTATCTTCCCCGCCCCACTGAATGTCTGTATCTTCCCCGCCCCACTGAATGTCTGTATCTTCCCCGCCCACTGAATGTCTGTATCTTCCCCGCCCCACTGAATGTCTGTATCTTCCCCGCCCCACTGAATGTCTGTATCTTCCCCGCCCCACTGAATGTCTGTATCCTCTCCGCCCCACTGAATGTCTGTATCTTCCCCTCCCCGCCCCACTAAATGTCTGTATCTTCCCCGCCCCACTGAATGTCTGTATCTTCTCCTCCCCACTGAATGTCTGTATCTTCCCCGCCCCACTGAATGTCTGTATCTTCCCCGCCCACTGAATGTCTGTATCTTCCCCGCCCACTGAATGTCTGTATCTTCCCCGCCCCACTGAATGTCTGTATCTTCCCCGCCCCACTGAATGTCTGTATCTTCCCCGCCCACTGAATGTCTGTATCTTCCCCGCCCACTGAATGTCTGTATCTTCCCCGCCCCACTGAATGTCTGTATCTTCCCCGCCCCACTGAATGTCTTTTTCTTCCCCACCCCACTGAATGTCTGTATCTTCCCCGCCCCACTGAATGTCTGTATCTTCCTCGCCCCACTGAATGTCTGTATCTTCTCCTCCCCGCCCCACTGAATGTCTGTATCTCCCCGCCCCACTGAATGTCTGTATCTTCCCCGCCCCACTGAATGTCTGTATCTTCCCCGCCCCACTGAATGTCTGTATCTCCCCGCCCCGCTGAATGTCTGTATCTTCCCCGCCCCACTGAATGTCTGTATCTTCCCCACCCCACTGAATGTCTGTATCTTCCCCGCCCCACTGAATGTCTGTATCTTCCCCGCCCCGTTGAATGTCTGTATCTTCCCCGCCCCACTGAATGTCTGTATCTTCCCCACCCCACTGAATGTCTGTATCTTCCCCGCCCCACTGAATGTCTGTATCTTCCCCGCCCCACTGAAAGTCTGTATCTTCTCCTCCCCACCCCACTGAATGTCTGTATCTTCCCCGCCCCACTGAATGTCTGTATCTTCCCCGCCCCACTGAAAGTCTGTATCTTCTCCTCCCCGCCCCACTGAATGTCTGTATCTTCCCCACCCCACTGAATGTCTGTATCTTCCCCGCCCCATTGAATGTCTGTATCTTCCCCGCCCCACTGAATGTCTGTATCTTTCCCACCCCACTGAATGTCTGTATCTTCCCCGCCCCACTGAATGTCTGTATCTCCCCGCCCCACTGAATGTCTGTATCTTCCCCGCCCCACTGAATGTCTGTATCTTCCCATCCCCACTGAATGTCTGTATCCTCCCCGCCCCACTGAATGTCTGTATCTCCCCGCCCCACTGAATGTCTGTATCTTCCCCGCCACACTGAATGTCTGTATCTTCCCCGCCCCGCTGTATGTCTGTATCTTCCCCGCCCCACTGAATGTCTGTATCTTCCCCGCCCCACTGAATGTCTGTATCTTCCCCTCCCCGCTGAATGTCTGTATCTTCCCCTCCCCACTGAATGTCTGTATCTTCCATGAACCAGGAGCCATGGAGGTCGTCTGTTGCAACCATTTGAGGGCAATCAAGTTTTTCACAGAAAGCATCAACTCCCAGTGTCCATACATGGGCACCCCATGCAACAACGAGGACGACTATAAAGTAACAATCTCCTTCTCAGCTTCGTCTTTCTGAACTTATACAAATTTACGTTTTATCAGTTTTATCATTACAATCCCAGTTTTATCATTACAATCCCAGTTTTATTATTACATTCCCAGTTTTATCATTACATTCCCAGTTTTATCATTACATTCCCAGTTTTATTATTACATTCCCAGTTTTATGATTACATTCCCAGTTTTATCATTACATTCCCAGTTTTATTATTACAGTCTCAGTTTTATCATTACGTTCCCAGTTTTATCATTACATTCCCAGTTTTATTATTACATTCTCAGTTTTATCATTACGTTCCCAGTTTATTTCATTGCATTCCCAATTTTTTAATTACATTCCCAGTTTTATCATTACAATCCCAGTTTTATCATTACATTCCCACCTCTACTTGTTGACTAGACTAGATCGTGTATTCATTCCACTCGAAGTTTGTTAGAACCAATGATGCTGTGTTGACAACACAGACGAACTATTTTAGCTGAAGAATTATTTGTCTTGTAAATCTTGTTGCGTATTTTGATGGGTCTCTAGATCTCATGATAGGATAAACGTATGAAGCCTGTGTGCGTATTTTGATTGGTCTCTAGATCTCATGATACTATACATGTATGAAGCCTGTGTGTGTATTTTGATTGGTCTCATTGTCTCAGGATAGACGTATGAAGCCTGTGCGTGTATTTTGATTGGTCTCATTGTCTCATGACAGAACGGGAAGTGCACAACGTGTGGATCTACCGGCTGTGCAGCTATGGGCTATCACTCAGACAGAAACAAGCCACCCAGTGGACAGACCAGAAAGTTCTTCACAACTACGTCAGACAAACGTCCATTTTGTCGTAAGTGTTAATTAGAGTGTTGTTTCATAAGACCAGCTTTTAATGAGCTGACCAGTCTGACCAGACTTAATGCTGCTTACCAAAAAACCACCAAAAAAACTTAGATATTTAGAAATATATACATAATAGCATACTTGTCGTACACATTGCTGCGATCTAATGACGCAACAGTTAGTAAAAGTTTCATCAGCACGTTACTAGTATAGTATTTTTAGACTCTTGATCTTGTTTTCTATAACGGAGGTATCGGGGACGTTGCGAGGCGCTCTGGGGAGCCACCGGTTACACCACCGCAGGGGCGCCTAGTGGGTTCCTCGTTTGGTATAGTTATCGGATGTCGGCACTCACCGCATCCATGTTGTAGGGTGAGCTTTAAAGCTAAAGTAGGTGTCATAGTTCTGGGGTGCTTCAGGTCACCCAACAGGTTTGTTCACTATTCCGCTCTGACGCTCTTGGGCGTCTAGTATGAACGTCTTTAGTGTACAATAATCACCCTCCGTGAGGTAGAACACAAGTCCGTCCATATATCAGGGATGTCGCGGGACGCTCTCTTGAACCAACGGTTACACTACCGCGAGGGGAGCCTGGGGCGCATTGAGTAACTCAACCGCTTGGCCGCCGGCTGATGCGCTTTATGCAGTTTTACCGTTGAATTAAGTAGTACCCCTGATCCCTTATGCAGCACACACAATCAAAGGATGCCGAGTGCTATGGTAGCCGCTCAAAAACTGTGGGCGTCAAATCGCATCCGACTTTCATTTTTATATACCGTTTATAGAGAAAAATCGCACCCTGCCGGATCGCCGACCCTAGGAAACCTTTTTTTTCAAGCAGATACCTCCCCAAGACAATTCACAACAATGTCCTAAAGTTTCATCTCAATGGAATATTAGGTGCAGAAATGCTTAAGGCATTTTTTGTAAAATGACTCATTGTGTATGTTGCTCCACAAATCTTAATGAATATTAATTTTACCCACTTCCCATTGCCCGAATGGTGGACATTTGGCATAGTGGTAGATCTTGGATGGCAATGCAAGAATATCGAAATGTTATATATATATATATATATATATATATATATATATATATATATATATATATATATATATATATATATATATATATATATAATTAGCATAAAATTGTAAGCAGCGCCGTGTAATATATTTGTGCTACTGGTACAGAGTACCATCTGAACATCGCCGTTAAACTCAACCCAACAACAGGGGCAGAGGAGCGAGGTGAGCTGTACGCCATCGTTACTGGTGACAAGAGCACCACACCCAAGGTTCTACTGAACAGTAGGTCAGTGGTCAGTTCTGTCTGGTAGGTCAGTGGTCAGTTCTGTGTGGTAGGTCAGTGGTCAGTTCTATCTGGTAGGTCAGTTCTGTCTGGTAGGTCAGTTCTGTCTGGTAGGTCAGTTCTGTCTGGTAGGTCAGTGGTCAGTTCTGTCTGGTAGGTCAGTGGTCAGTTCTGTCTGGTAGGTCAGTGGTCAGTTTTGTCTGGTAGGTCAGTGGTCAGTTCTGTCTGGTAGGTCAGTGGTCAGTTCTATCTGGTAGGTCAGTGGTCAGTTCTGTCTGGTAGGTCAGTGGTCAGTTCTGTCTGGTAGGTCAGTGGTCAGTTCTGTTTGGTAGGTCAGTGGTCAGTTCTGTCTGGTAGGTCAGTTCTGTCTGGTAGGTCAGTGGTCAGTTCTGTCTGGTAGGTCAGTGGTCAGTTCTGTTTGGTAGGTCAGTGGTCAGTTCTGTCTGGTAGGTCAGTTCTGTCTGGTAGGTCAGTTCTGTCTGGTAGGTCAGTTCTGTCTGGTAGGTCAGTGGTCAGTTCTGTCTGGTAGGTCAGTGGTCAGTTCTGTCTGGTAGGTCAGTTCTGTCTGGTAGGTCAGTGGTCAGTTCTGTCTGATAGGTCAGTGGTCAGTTCTGTGTGGTAGGTCAGTGGTCAGTTCTGTCTGGTAGGTCAGTGGTCAGTTCTGTCTGGTAGGTCAGTTCTGTCTGGTAGGTCAGTGGTCAGTTCTGTCTGGTAGGTCAGTGGTCAGTTCTGTCTGGTAGGTCAGTTCTGTGTGGTAGGTCAGTGGTCAGTTTTGTCTGGTAGGTCAGTGGTCACTTCTGTCTGGTAGGTCAGTTCTGTCTGGTAGGTCAGTGGTCAGTTCTGTCTGGTAGGTCAGTTCTGTCTGGTAGGTCAGTGGTCAGTTCTCTGTGGTAGGTCAGTGGTCAGTTCTGTCTGGTAGGTCATTGGTCCGTTCTGTCTGTTAGGTCAGTGGTCAGTTCTGTCTGATAGTTCAGTGATCAGTTCTGTCTGATAGGCTACATTAAACCTATCATGTCTTACATGAAACCTTACATTACACGACTACAATAAACCTGTGCTACATTGAACCTATGAACCTACACCAACGTGTTATTGTTACAGCCCCATCTCGTTTCAAGTGGGAAAAGTTTACCACTTCACCCTGGGCTCGTCTGTTGATGTGGGGAACGTCCGCTCTATAACTTTGTTCTGGAACCACATTGGTCCCTTGCTGAACCCCTTGCAGTGGAATATCCTGGGTCTCAGAAACCCGAAGCTGTTCATTGATGAGGTTGACGTTCAGAGACTTGAAGCCAACGTAGAGTGAGTCAATTTTTTTTAAATTTCATTGTGGTTAACGTTAAATGAGTCAAAAATTTGTATTTCATTGAAGCAACGTTAAGTGAGTTGAACATTTTTATTTCATTGAAGCAATGATAAGTGAGTTGGACATTTTTATTTCATTAGCTTGACAGTATCAAGATTAAAATAATATTCTTTTTAAAAATAGTTTTAAAAAATATCTTAAATTATTGAATGCTTTCCATGTTTTGTTTTTTTCTTAGTAAAATGTTGAAAATAAAGTTGTATTTTTTTTTAGTTTGCATCTGTGTTCTGCGGGGCAAAGCGTTGAAACGGACCATTCAATAGTCCTGTCAACAAGATGCTAAATGGAAGACTCTTCTCAAGATGTACAAACAGCTGTCCTTGCCATTAAATTGAAATGTATTTAACATAAATAACTTGCTTTTCAAGAATAAGTTTTTCCTGAACTTACAATTTCTGTCTGTCTTTCTGTCAGTTTGTAGTAAAACTGGTAACCTATTTTCGATTCTCTTCTGAGGCAAAGATTTTGATCACATTTAACAGATAAATTCGTACCCGACAACTCAAGAATAGAAACATTCACCGTAATGACATAAAAATTAGTCATGATAAATGAACTTACAATGTCGCTGAAATGTGTCAAATATTTCGTCAGCAACAAATGCTTTTTACTTTTTAACATACCAATCATTCAATTATTGTCACTGACTACATATTCTGATAATGGAGCGGGTTGAGTGCTCCAGCAATTCAACTCAAACCAGTACAGTGTTTTTGTGATCCAGTACGACCCAAGACTTTCAAGACTTGGGCAAGTTTTACTGGTTGGAGTTTGTCCATGTTGTTTGATGTTCAATACTAGCGAGAGAAAAAGCAACACGCCATGGCAACTAATGTTGCAGATCGTGTTTTTTGTGACCTGTTTAAAATTTGGTTGCACTTTAAATAAAACTTAGTCGACGTGTTACACCTCTAAACTCTGAGGTTAAGTTACACTTAAAAAACCTTTACGCTACTTATCAGTGGTGTGACGTCGACAGATGCTGTAACAGAGCTACCTTAATTATTAATTAATAAGCCATTGTATTTGGTTCAACATTTCAACATTTACTTACAACTTTATATCTGTGATATATTTTATTATATATAAACCTATATATATATATATATATATATATATATATATATATATATATATATATATATATATATATATATATGTTTATATATAATTAGTATTTTTTAAAAGTCCGATTTATTTCCCGTATTTTTACTTTCTCGGATACGAAAAATGGTGGAATAATCATTATTGTGATCTTGCATATAATCGGAATCGAGATTTTGACAAATCTTTACGTTTTACACTTCCCTGAGTCGAAAAAACTTAGTTTAGCAAAAATGTGTCTGTATGTCTGTACGACTTAATGTCTGTCTGACTACCGTTTCAGTTATCTTATTTTATATATAGGTATTATATCAAATTTGAAGTTGTGATTAATATTTTAAGCAATTCACGATAACCGGTCTAAATTTCGCATAGTAATATTACATTGTATGCGTATCTTTATACCTAATTTTCTATCAAATTTCCGGTAACCGGAAGTGGTGAAGTAAAGTTCCCTTTTCAAAGGAGCAAGTTAAGTAAAGCTCACCAGTTTAAGTGACCTCGGCATATGAGGGCATAGTGAGGCCAGCACTATGCCCAGCCGCCTTTGCTTTACCTAACTTGTCAGGTACCCATCAGAGCTAGATGGAATCAGGGAAGTTCTACTAATGTGAACCCGGATCCAAACTCAAGACTTTCGGGTTAAGTCTAGTGATCTAGCGTTAGGCCGCATCGTACCGAAATTGGTATTATATTTCCGTTCGAACACCATGGTGTATGTGCTGCATGTCTGTGAATGAAATTTCCTATGTAAGTTTAAAATTTTACACTTGAATTTTTTAATTACATTTTTGGAGTGCCCTCTGATATCCGGAAGTGGTACTTTATTGTTGGTTTCTAAAAGACCAACAATAAGAGTACCGTTTCATATAGGGGGACGAAATTTCATACAGTTATAAGATTTTCTCACTTCAAGTTGTAGTTTTTGTCCAACTTTTCAGTGATTTATGGTAACCGGAAGTGGAACTACTTATTCTACTTTCAAACTTTTGCAAAAGCCTATAACTTGAGTACATGAGTACTGAGATAAATAAATGAAATTTCACATGTAAGGAAAATATCTAATTTTCTGCCTTCTATCAAATTTTGAGTAATTTCCGTTGACCTGAAAAAGTAATTTACGCTATTTCCGATATCTCAAAAAGCATGTGATTTTATAAAGTACTAATAATATTGCGCACTATTATACACATATTGTTTGGCGTTCACTTGTTGCGCAATTCTTTTTTTCTACGAGATTCTATTCTATTTTAAAAAGTTTAAGTAATTAAAAATGGATTAAAAATCATGTCTGTATCCCGAGTTACCATCCCTCGTTGTTTTATCTAAGAATATTCGAGAAAATTGAGGGGAGATCACTCCCGGTTTATTGTTGTATTCTGTCATGTCAGAAAAAGGTAATCACTAACTTGTCTAGTGTGCGAAACTGTTATAGTTTTTATTAATTTACGAATCTTAATTAATTTAAGGAAGATAATAAGACAAAATCAATGCAGTAATCGAACACATTTTCAAATTTCTATTTGACTTTTAAATTACGAATAACGAAATATAAAGGAAATTAATTTAAAGAACGACAACTTAGGTATAATATAAAGTTTATTTATAGCTGTCGCCGAGGGCATCACGTGATTAGCAAGCTCTATTGATGACAACAGCTTTATCTGACTCTACAACCACACCACTACCAGCTGCACACACCCGAGATCTGTAAGAGATGTAATTTTGGTTTAGAATGGTATAATTACATCACACATGAGATCTGTAAGATAAATCATTTGGTTTGGAATGGTATAATTACATCACACATGAGATCTGTAAGAGAAGTCATTTGGTTTAGAATGGTATAATTACATCACACATGAGATCTGTAAGAGATGTAATTTTGGTTTAGAATGGTATAATTACATCACACATACGGGGTGTAATTTTGGTTTATAATGGTATAATAACCGTGAAATTAATTTGGGAATTATGAAAGTGACAAAACTGATAATGTAAAAGGATAAAATGTGAACAGAAAACTCAAGGCAAGATATGGTTTACCGATTATTAGCAAGATAACATTAGAATAACGTCGATAAGAGCAAACTTTTTATGATCAATTAATACATGAAAGAACATAAAACTCACTCAAAATACGGTGCGTTGATGACGATAAATTTCACTCAATTCGCTGAGTGAATGAACATAAAAATCACTCAACCCACGGTCAGTGAATGAAGATAAAACTCACTCAACAGACGGTGAGTGAATGAAGATAAAACTCAACTACGGTGAGTGAATGAAGATAAAACTCAACCTACGGTGAGTGAATGAAGATAAAACTCAACCTACGGTGAGTGAATGAAGATAAAACTCAAATTACGGTGAGTGAATGAAGATAAAACTCAACCTACGGTGAGTGAATGAAGATAAAACTCAAATTACGGTGAGTGAATGAAGATAAAACTCAACCTACGGTGAGTGAATGAAGATAAAACTCAACCTACGGTGAAAGAATGAAGATAAAACTCACTCAACAGACGGTGAGTGAATGAAGATAAAACTCACTCAACCTACGGTGAGTGAATGAAGATAAAACTCACTCAACCTATGGTGAGTGAAAGAAGATAAAACTCACTCACCCTACGGTGAGTGAATGAAGATAAAACTCACTCAACCTACGGTGAGTGAATGAAGATAAAACTCACTCAACCAACGGTGAGTGAATGAAGATAAAACTCACTCAACCTACGGTGAGTGAAGGAAGATAAAACTCACTCAACCTATGGTGAGTGAAAGAAGATAAAACTCACTCACCCTACGGTGAGTGAATGAAGATAAAACTCACTCAACCTACGGTGAGTGAATGGAGATAAAACTCACTCAACCTACGGTGAGTGAATGAAGATAAAATTCAATAGACGATTAGTGAATGAAGATAAAACACAACCGACGGTGAGTGAATGAAGATAAAACTCACTCAACCTACGGTGAGTGAATGAAGATAAAACTCAACCTACGGTGAAAGAATGAAGATAAAACTCACTCAACAGACGGTGAGTGAATGAAGATAAAACTCACTCAACAGACGGTGAGTGAATGAAGATAAAACTCACTCAACAGACGGTGAGTGAATGAAGATAAAACTCACTCAACGCCCGCTTCCTGCCGCTTGACGTCCACCTCCTGTAGATAAATCTTAGAGCTGGTCAAGCCAAGGATGTCCCAGTCAAGTGGATTCAACAGAGATACTGTGTGCATGTATATCACCATTATATTTCGGATGTTGCCGATGTCATTTGGTGTTGCCACTTGAAACGTGTGGACACTTCCGGGTTCAAAGTTGATGGCGCTAAAATAATCACAAGATAACTATTTTCAAGCTTGTCATTTTAGATGAACATAATCATTAAAATAAACGATGGATTTAAAAACATGTGTATAAGCTGTCTGGGTAAGTGATCACAATAATTGTCGACATCAACAAAGTGGAATTAATCTGCTGTCGTGATGCTATTTCAAACATGGTAAATATAGCATCATCTCACAGATTCTATACACACCTTCAAACTGAGACTATTTTGTCTTCTCTAACACTAATAACTCATTCACCCATCAACCGTTGTCGCAGGCAGTGGCATGGTGTGTTAAAACATTCGTCAGTTAGTCGTCATGGCAACCCATCAAAGTCGTGGCAACCCATCAAAGTCGTGCAACTCATCAAAGTCGTGGCAACCCATCAAAGTCGTGGCTACTCATCAAAGTCGTGGCAACTCATCAAAGTCGTGCAACTCATCAAAGTCGTGGCAACTCATCAAAGTCGTGGCAACCCATCAAAGTCGTGGCTACTCATCAAAGTCGTGGCAACTCATCAAAGTCGAGGCTACTCATCAAAGTCGTGGCAACTCATCAAAGTCGTGGCTACTCATCAAAGTCGTGGCAACTCATCAAAGTCGTGCAACTCATCAAAGTCGTGGCAACTCATCAAAGTCGTGGCTACTCATCAAAGTCGTGGCAACTCATCAAAGTCGTGCAACTCATCAAAGTCGTGGCAACTCATCAAAGTCGAGGCAACTCATCGAAGTCGTGGCAACTCATCAAAGTCGTGCAACTCATCAAAGTCGTGGCAACTCATCAAAGTCGTGCAACTCATCAAAGTCGTGGCAACTCATCAAAGTCGTGCAACTCATCGAAGTCGTGGCAACTCATCAAAGTCGTGGCTACTCATCAAAGTCGTGGCAACTCATCAAAGTCGTGCAACTCATCAAAGT